ATTTGTGGAGCTGTATTGGAATTGTATGTCTGCACACCCACACACACATCCTAACCCTCGAAGGGGAGATGGCTCTACTTGCGACATTTGTTGGCTGGGAGTTTTTCATCTTCAACTCCAGGACTGGCGGAGACATAGACGTCTTTGCTTCGGCAGCCTGTGCTCAAACCACACCTTATGTTGGCCGAAGATCCTTCTGCATCGTGGCGTCGACCACTCTCCATGCCGCACGTTGGATTCCAACCTCATGCGGATCTGAAGCGTGTTGACTCATAATGGCTCGCTGTCTCCGACCCTGGCCCCCGATCACCTTACAGGCATCCTGCGGCTTGCTTCTCGAACACAAACTTGTGACAAGTGACACGTGAAAGTCAAAGAGGCATGTAGGATGTTCGAAAAGCTACGTAGAATCGTAGAACTCACTAGGCAATAGTAGACTCGAAGGGAGATTGTTGACCCACATCTTGCAGTATCCAACAATATCGACCCCTCAACTCACGAATCTTAGAGCACCACAGGCTGTCCGATATATACTCCGAAGACCTCTTCCATTTGCCAGAACTCGCCGGCCTTGTTCTTATACGCCACGGAGAGCATTTGGCCCTCTTCCGGTGTAAGTTCACCTCCAGCTTCTACCACATGGCGCATGTGGTCTGCCATTTCCTTGGCGGGTTTAGGGTTTAAGCTTTCTTGGGACCAGCAGAGCACTGGAAGTGTCTGCAGGATCCGGGGTTTAAGAATTCGTCTCGTTGTCAAGAATGCCATAACGCTGCACGCACGACGAGGAAGACGGACAAAGACATACCCAGAGGCCCCAAATTCTGTATTCCAAATAATACGTACTGTAGTTCACAATGATCACAGATCTTACTAGAGGTTGTTGGGTTTGTTGACAACTAAGTTTGTTGTTTCGGGGTCTCTCGACACACTCTCACTGGGGTCCGCCTTGCAGCAGCCAAAAAGTTGCGCAAAAAAAACTCTCCCTCACCCGTGTAAAAACAGATTAACATCGAACCCTGCGATGCTGCGAACAAGCACTAGCGGTTGTAGAAGAAACCTACCATTGAAACGAGCCTCTGAAACATCTCTTGCGAGCATGATAGAGTAGGATTTTGAGGTGATTGGTAGAGAGTTTGTGGTCTTGCTTGTACTGGATGGTGGGTTGCCGAAAGAAAGGCAGCACACCATGTTCTTCGCATGTACACACGGACAGTTTGACCAATCGTCGAACACTCAGCGTTTGCAGCAGGCCTTGCCAGGTAAGATGCACCAGTGCCTGACCGGACATCCTGCTCACTAATGCAGGTCACCACCGGGAACTGGCCCAACAAGCGGCGCAAGAAGTTTAAGATAATCTCTCCGAAGAACACCAAGCAAGATCTCGGCCATCCAGGTTGCCAAAGCGAACTCTCCATTCAGGAAGGCTTCTATTTATATAGCTTCTTCAACGATGCTTGAAACATGAATACACAGCACAGAAACACCCAAATCACTTCTGCAGATGTGAATCATCGTAGCGTTCTGCTTGTTAGGCGAGCCTTGCCAGATAAATCTGCTTTTCCTCAGGACAGTCGGTCTCCCCCTCTCTTGGGCTCTCCGGAAATCTCCCTCTCTCTCTCTCTCTTGTATGTGTTCTCTTTCTGGTGCACTGTTAAACAAAGTCCAGTGGTTGTAGGCTCAGCATCTAACTAAATTAGCTTCGGTGCGGAGCACCTGAATCATTCGGACCTGTTGCTTTACCTTCTACACATCATCCTTCCCACAATGAAAACTCCAAAAGTCACGTCGCAATCCAATGCAATGTTCTCTGGTCTCCAGCGCTCCGAAACACGCCTCAACACCATGACACTCCACCCGGCAAAGAGTACTTGTGTCCACAATTGCTGCCTGAGCCACACGCTGTGCCAACATCCGCAAAGTCACGGCGCTTTCAAGGCTTGATCCGAAGCTCTGCCGGACTGCGGGCGCAAGGACTGCTCAAGACTCCTTCACCTGTTCAAGGCATATTATATAGCACTTATATTAATATGGGGCATCACAAGGTTTGTAAAGGCTGTAGTCTGTGGGGTGTATGATTTTTTCAACGATTTTGGGTTTAGGGGTTGGGGCTTGGGACAGTGGAGTGTGACAGGAGATCCGGTGTGAACCTCGCCATGTACTTGATACTGCAGCATCAAGATGAATGGATAGGTTACATGCATGACGGGTAGGCTTGTCCATGGCGAGGCACGGAAACCATGAGTGGGTGTGGCGAAAGGCAAAGGGTCGTCAGGTTGCCCAGAAGAAAGCCTGACTGAATCCCCTGTCCCTCCAAGCAGGGTAACGCCCTGTCTGATTTCCCGCACCGACTCTGCCGTCGAATCTCTGGGAATGGATTCGGATTGACTGTACGGACGCTTGCGCCCACCTCTTATGTGAGGGCATCAATGCGACATGCCAGGCTAAGTACAGATCAGGGCAGCGGGAAGCAGGTGTCTGCGAAGGAGTGGCTTCGAGTTGATACCAGCAGGGTGACACCTGCCTGCCTCCCTCCCAAAACATTTACTCATGTATTTCAGAGCCCGATGTATTGCTCACTGCAGTGAGCGGCCAAGTGCCAGCCCAGCAAAGCGGCTACAAAGCAAAAGTGAGAACCTAGAGGAGAAGTGCAGACAATCCTGATGCTTCGATATGCTAAGCACCCTTTAAAAACTCCGAGCCTCTAATGTCCTAGAAATCCTTCTTTCGATCCACTGCCAACTGGAGCCGCGGGAGACTCATCCATAGGAGTCGCATTTCGGATCCGGGAATTATGGGGAGCATTTGGGTGACACTTGCTGACAGTCCTTAGAAAAAGCCGGTTCTGCAGGGATTGAATTGTACAAAAATTGGGGTTCTCCGCATGTGTATTCCGAGTCTGCAGGATTTGCAAGTAGATTATGGTACTATCGGCAGATGCTATGATGCTACGATTTAATGGTTTGCGACTCACTAAACCACCTTTCCTACCCCTAAACCTTCGAAGTCGGTTTCTGAAAAGCCAATGCTAAGCTCGGGCTCAGCTCTGTGCCGGGATTTCTGCAGGTACCGGGCCGACGTCGTAGATCACCTCCCTGTGGGAAGACCAGCCTCAGCTCGCCCCCCGGCTGCACTGCAAAGGGAAATGCCTGGATCCCAAAAGAAATTCCCTCGTAATAAGTCTTGGACCTCTATTTTACCGACTTTTAAGTGTGGGTTTTAAGTGTTGTATGGTTCGGGGTTCGGGATCTGGTTTCAGGTGCCCTGCGAAGGCTCGTTTACCATCTCACAACTCGGAGAAGCACAGGGATGTCGGGTCGACGAAGTCTGGCCTTGAGAATAAAACCCGGAACTATGCAGACCGCCCAATACCAAATAAGTAAGGGATATAGCTTAAAGCATACTCTGACGCCCCTTATAACTTGAGCTATATTCCTTAATTGAGGGGTAGTGGGCGCTCTGGGTACCAAAGAGTCGAAACTCATGGTCGGGTCTATGCTGGGCTCGTTTCGCCGGGGAGAGTCGTGGCTCTGGCATGACATTGGGCTTCAGGTCTTGGGACCATGTGGACCAGAGTCAAACACATAGCTTTCGAAAAGGCGGAGGAGGGGACCTCAGTGATCTTGTGCTGAAGCAACTTCCCACGCCAGCCACGTGCAGAACTCGGAAAAAAAGCATCCTGGAGACGTCTTTCATGGAGCCTTTTGTAACCTTTGTATGCCGAAGGCGACAGCTAAGATCTCCACCAGCAAGGCCTCTACAACCTGAAGCCGAAAACCCATAGTATTGCCAACATAAAGGATGTAAGGCAACGAAAACGGAAGGGTACTGCAACGATATGCTACTTGTATGGGCTGAAGCTTAATTACTTCTCCACTTCTCTTGAAAGCTTGCAGCCCGGCGGCACAGCTGAATGGCATGTTTGGTGTGGATGCCTTCCCAGGATATGCGCATGAACCCAGGCTCTCCAACAAGTCTCGTTGGGCCCACATATCCCGCATCTGACGTCTTAAAGTTGACCAGGCTATGCCACCCTAAACCCTAAACCCTAACTCGGTGACGTGACTGATCGCCCGAAGCACAGGCCAGATTCCAGGAACCAGGAGCCCACTACCCTCTAAACCCTCTCTCTCCATCTCTCGACTGTCTGCGGAAATCCCGGGTTTCACAAGATAGGGGACTCTTAAAGACTCAATCATCCAGCCTAGCAGCAGCAAAGACATTTTTATTTCCGCAAGCAGCTTGATCCTGAGTTTTGCAGTTTTGTGGCGGACGCTCGGCATTTCTCACTTTTATGGCCAATGTCTCCCTTCATGTCGGAACTGCTTGGATGCTTCGATGATAGGAACAACATGAGTGATCACCGTGAGCATCAGGCGAACGATCAAACGCGCACGAAATCGGATAACCTTGCTGCAGCCCCTGTATAAGAAGTGACGCTGGAACAAAGGATGTTACGCTGGCAATGACTCCCAAGGAGGACGCAGCAGCACAGAGTAGCCAAATAGCTGCCCTAAGCCGAAAGCCCTGAAGCAAGGACCCGACAAAACCACAAGACCCCAAAACACTCAAACCCCGAGACCGTAATAAGAGTAACCCCTGTGCTACCCTTATGGTAGACCTTTAAAGGCCACCCTAAACCCCAAACCCTCATGGTGGACCTTTAAAGGGCCTCTAAGGCCGAAGCTTCCGAAGAACCATAAACCCTAAACTAACTCTCAGACGCTTGGTTCCATCAGGACGTCTGCAATCGCCGAAAACCCCAAAGCCAAAGCCCCAAGGCCTCTCTCTCTCTCTCTCTCTCCCAGGCGTTCGAAACGTGAAGCCTGACTGACCCCAAACACTAAAACCCCAATCCTAAACATAAACCCTAAACACAAACCCTTTTGCATCCAGGACTCTCGCAACCAGCCGGGAAACTCTAACCCCAAAATCCCTAAACCCTAAACGCAAATCCTAAACCTTAGAATCCCCAAACATCCCTAAACATCCCTAAACCCGGCCTCCAGCTCGCACGTCGCCCGAAGGCCCAAACCAATGCTGCACGGGAGCCCCGGTGGTCCGGGCCCGGGCCTGGGAGTTTCGCAGCAGATTTTGGGACAAACGGGAGTAGCTAGGGTTTTTGAGGGTTTTGGGGATTTCGGGATTTAGGGTTTAGTCTAAGGATCTTTAAGGTTTCTAGGGATTGTGGGGATTTTGACGCTCACACTCGGACAAGCCTGGCAAGGTCTGTAGCGATACTGGTCCAACGACTTACTCGGATCAAACTTGAAACGTGACTTAGGCGTTTAGGGTTTACATAAGGATTTAGGAATTAGAAGGATTTAGGGATTTAGGGTTGCTGTTGCTGCATTGGAAACACAGCACATGCTGAAGACTTCCAGGAATGCAATCATCGCCATCATTCAGCAGAACCAGGAGGAAACTTGAGCCAAAACGATCACTACTACTGGGGGTGGGCTTTGTAGAAGCACAATGCAAGACGAGCCAACTTGGGGATTTACTCATCAACCAAAGGCTCCCTGTATGGTAACATGCACACTAATCGCGGGCTAATAAACAGAAGCACAGTTTTCCTTATGAGTCCATTGAACTGCGCGCGACCTCGAACTGGTCCTATTCTTCAGCCACGGAGCTCCGGCGTAGGTCGTACCGGTGATAGAATTCGCCAGCACCTACGCACACCGAGCCGAAGACGTCCAGTACCCTACCGGTGGTTCAAGGCATGCACAAGGCAAACCCGAAGCTATCTATAGGGTCATACCCTACCCGTTTTGGGGGTTATTTAGTTTTATGGTTAGGGTCTATTGCATAGAAAATGGGTGCCCTAACAAGGGGTAGGGCCACTTTTATCCTATAGACAGAGCACTCTTGGCAGCTGCAAATGGCGGAGGGACTGTCTGTAAAACACCACTTCTCCTCTCTGTCATGTGATCCCACTGGGAACACGAATTAGAAGTGCAACATTCCCTTCTTAGACAAGGTTGAAGTCACTACTACACTGAAGCAAGCTACACCGGCTTGCTGTGTGGGGCAAGTCCATAGGTTTATGTCCAAGTAAACACACTCCGCGATCTGTTCGGTCTGGGGAACAGGATACGAGGTGCAGGGTTTAGGGATTCTCTTTTTCTCGCTCTCTCGCTCCCCATCCGCAGCCTCGTTGATGAAGCGAGGGTTGTTGGAGACTATCCCAGCAGTAAGGTGATTGGGCATGCGATTGATGGCCTCGATAACCTGATCCACGACGGGGACTGGGAATATTTGTGGGGCAGGGTTATTTCGACTCCCGAACCGGTCTACTTGGCATATGTAGGCGTTTCGAACGACGAAAAGTCATAAGGGACCCTTAGGGGGGTAGGGGGCCTTCATGCCAGCAGTAAGAACCTAACAGGGCCTATTTACAGAAGTATAGTCCCGTAACCCCCCTCCTCCATAGCCCCCTAAGTGCCCCTATGTCAAAAGGAAATAGGTGTATGCGTGGTAACCCAAGGGGCGGAAGGGCTTGCAAGGGCCATGTAGGGCCGTCTTGGACTCATTGCCATATAAACAACCTACGTCTCAATCAGTAGAACCGGAGTTTTGGGTGATGTTCTAGAATCTCTATAGCAAGGAGCCGGAAGGGATATAGGGTCTCTGGGCAAGGTTTGCGCGGATTTTTGTACGTTTTGGCACGCGGAATTTTTTGGCCGGCAGTGCATGCAAATTTGTGCATGGAAAGTTGCGTGGTGTTCTTTTGAGGGAGATAGAATGGTAGGAAAATCCGCGGCAAAATTCGCGAGAAAACTAGCAAGCAACTCCGCGAGACAACCCGGCAGGGCCATGCAAAGAAATCCGCTAAACAAATCGTCGCGCCAGCCAACCCTAAGGGATAGTGTCGGATAGTGTTTCTGTTTACGCAGGCTTCTATATCAAACAGAACCGGTTTGTAACTTTGTAACAGCCCCACACACACACAGCATCGCACCAAGACAGTGTGGAGCCACAGCGTTGTCCTTCTCAATTGCGATACACTGCAGACAGAATTTCTGGGATTTCGAGACAAGCAAACACAGACACGACTCCTAGCCAATACTTCACACTTGAGTTTATCATTCGTGAAGTCCGCTTCACACGGAGTTGCTCTTCCTTATAAGAATGCCGTTGCTGCCGTCGTTGGAAGTCCTTCCCAACATACATGTCGTAAACGTTTAGGTTCCCGGAACCTTGGCTGGCGAGACTACTCGCCCACACCCGAAATCCTACTGCGAAGGCTCTTCTACAGATAAAAATAAACATGAGCCGCAAGCCTCAGAAGCGAACAAATCGACATGGGAGTTTCAGACATCATGGGACCCTCGTAAAGATCAATGATAGGTATGTTGAGGCTATAACATTATAGCTATTATGATGACAAGGCCTTGCAATGGGATACCTACTTCAAGAAGCTCCCATCATGTGAACGAAACCCTGATGTGGCAGTCCTTGGACTGTTGGCCCTCCTTGTAATCCACCAACACCTGACGAAATGGCAGGGTTCCGACGTTGCTACGACTAGCAGTTTTTCAGGCTTCTATATGATGACTGCTGACCGTTATTCCACGCTTCGTGCCCACCGTGTGCCCTGAACAAGTGATATCAAGTTGCAGTTTGAGCTACTGTAGAAGCATTTTGTCAGCTTACACTCCGAAGCCCTGGAACGGCCCTACAACCCTAATGCCCTAAAGATGCCCCCCAAGAACAATGACCTCGAAACTACTCTGAGGCCCTACAGTAAAGCGGACCCAACCTTCAGACCGGAACACTCGTTTAAGAAAATCTTCGCTGCTAAAATGTACCGACGCAGGCCGACGTCCTTACAAGGCCCCAAATCCGTTGACAGTGTAAAAGCTAAACCAAAACCTCTAAAAGCACTGCAATCTAAACGCGCTCTGAACACCCCTCGCGACGCCTGAGATGTTTCCCATGACATTCACGCGCCTACCAAATCGACATACCGTTCCGAAAGGCCCGATAAACATCCATCTCCAATCCCTAACCCCTAAACCCTAACCCTAATCCCTAACCCCTACACCCCGACCCTAATCCCTAATCCCTACACCCCGACCCTAATCCCTAATCCCTACACCCCGAATCCCTAATCCCTAAAAACAGCACGAGACAAGACTGGAGCCTGGAAAGGGCCGAAAAGCTCCACCGTTGCCACTTCGAAGCTGGGGGGATCCTCCAAGGCCTCCAAGCAAAAGGTGTAGGGTTTTTGGTTTTAAGGGTTTATGTGGGGGTTTAGGGTTTTTGTTTTTTTAGAGTTTAGGGGTTTTAAGGGTTTAGGGGTTTAAGGGTTTAGGAGGGGTTGAAAGGGTTAGGGACAGGCTCACGATGTGGGTTTAGCGTTGAGAGCGTGTGGGGTTTAGCGCACGGTAGCTCACCTCACCGAGCTTATGAATGTTGATTGTGGCTGCCAACTGTTGCGGCAGAGTTAGAGGTTGATCACTTCACTGACGACCTATTCTCCTTGCAGACACTCGCTCTGACACTCTCTTTTCTCAGATGGCGCTCAGTCGTAGATCTGTTCAGCGTGAATGGCTCGGACTCTTGAATCAGACGCCTACAACTTCAGTCGTAAGCCGTTGGCTTATATGGCAGTTTCTTGAGCCACAAACTTCCGTGTGAGGTGGAGCACTTTCGAGTAGATAGATAGATAGATAGATAGATAGATATATATATATATATACTCTGTACACTCTGCAAAGCAGATGCGTAAATGAGTTGTTGGCAGAACACGTGTGTCAAGCAGGCCTGTGATATCTTGAAACATCGTTCACTCTCCTAGCTCTTGTCGCGACACCCACGGGGTGTACGAGTCATCAAGGTCTGTTCGCACTTTGAAAGCCAACATATCATTTTCATACAGTTTTAAGGAATTGCCACCAATACATTATAAATATATCATATATATATATACATACGTATCTCATACCTCGACGGTATTACTTCTCTACTGGCTAGTCAGTCCGACTGAAAAAGGTAACAGTCATATAAGGCCTTGCAGGGTTTGCGGGGTTCAGGACTTAATACCTTTGCGTTCGGGGATGAATGACGTTTCATGGACCGCATAGCCAAGGTTTGAGTTTGGTTTTCCTGTTTAGTCTATCTTTTTCCTGGCTTCCTGGGGCTTTAGGGTTTGGGGTTTAGGGTTTTCGAGTCTGCTTCAAGGATCAGGGGACTTAGCACCATCATGTGTAGCTACAACCGAAACCCTACTTACAAAGTCCCCTAATCGTTGAGCAGCGTGGCGGCTTGTTTTGGAGTGGGGGCGGGAGGGCTTGAAGAGGCAGGCTACGAGCTTCTCCACCAGAATGAGACCATGGCACAGGGATGGGAATCTGTGAGAATCGTCACTTTTAAAGAGTAACCAAGACCCTACACCTTTATGGGAGTAACCATCCTCAATCATTCCCAGGCCTGAGCCATGGTCTCTTGGGTTTACAGTAGGGTTTTGAGACTCACACCCGGAGAAGCCTGGCACTGTACTCAGCAGGTATCACCAAGCACAGGTAGGGTTTTTGGTTTAGAGCTAAGACCTTATAAACCTCAAAACAAACCAAAACCACCCAAAAGCACCCAAGGCCCCAGAACTCGAAGCAGCGACTCGGGCTGCAAATGGGAGCTTCAGATTCCAGAGGACCAGAACATGGAATCCAAGAAGGAGGATCCTTCAGAAGGCGGCGCTTCAAAACAAGGGCTCCCAACAAGGAGAAGCCTCGTGAAGTCCTCTTGTTGGGTGCTGTAGACGTCGTATATAGCCCTCATAGAAACAGAAAACCATGGCTCTGTGTGAAGAAGCCCCCTACGTATCATTGAATCATAAACCATAATAAACCCTCATGCAATCCTGAACTCTTGCAGAACACCGAAAACAACGCAAACAACAATGATAATATGTTCTGCCTCGATCGGAATCCGAACAGCTGTCGGTTCAACTGCGCCGTACCTGTAGTAGTAAATCACGGTGTTTTGGATTTAAGTCAACATTGTGTTGCCCCGATCTGTTTATTTTGCGTGTGTATGTATGTATGTATGCATGTATGCATGTATGCATGCATGTGTACATGCATGTGCATGCACATGTACATTTGTGTGCATGTGCAGGCGTATGTATACGTATGACATATGTCTGTGTGCAAAACTCTGTATATGTAGATGCATGTTTACGTATGCATTCATGCGCACACGAGTGCAGGAGGTGGGTAACCAGGCAGTAGGTAAGTGTACATGCATACATGTTGTTGTTGTCGGTTAATCAGTTTTTGGCGTATAGGCGAGCAAACGACAGCAAACTAGCTGCGGCCAAAAGTACTGAGGTTCGCTGCTTACCTTGTTGATGCTCAGTGAAGTTTGATAGTGGCGGCAAAATGTGCCTGTCTATCGATCGCCCTGCAATGGCAACAATCTTGAGCCTCAGTCCAGTCGTTGGCAGTTCGATGGGTAGCAGCTTCTCTGGGACTCGCTGAAAATGCACCTGAACCTGATGTCTAAGACTGAGCCCATGCTTGTGCTGCACCAACAATAAACTCAATAAACCTAGCTCTTCCACTGGTGGTAAGAAGCACAACACGATGATGCACATCTGGAAATGTGCGCTCTGCTAGACCTCCTGCTGACTGAGGCACTGTGGCGGGACGGTGTGGTCGGCGAGCTCCTGGCACCACAGTGGAAATGCTGAAAAAAAATGCACAAGCTCAAAAAGCCAAGCATGGTCAGACCTTGCCTTGCCGCCGAAGGCCAACGACGCACCCGGGATGGCCAAGACGCGGTCCATGTGGGCCAAGAACTTCTCCTTAGTTTCGAGGCCCCAATATCGCGAATTGAAGCGGCTGAGCCGAACTCGAAGCCCTGATCGCCTCTCTGTATTTACAGGATGAGATACCCCCTGCCAACCCTAGTGCCACTAAGGCAACCATAGCAGGCACAGCGACGTCCCATGAACGACCTGATGCTGAACCCACTGATGCTCCGGTGGAATGCAAGCGCTGGAGTTACTGAAAGGGCTGTCGGAGACTTTGGTAGGAACCTAAAAACTTGCACAGCCCGAGCAGGAAGCCCTCAAACAAGCCCTTCCCACAGAGCCCATGACAGGCCGAGTCTACCACGAAATTAAGCTGCAAGCTTGACTCCAGAAAGACAAAAAGTGTCATCCGAAGTGAACCAGGAGTTGCTATTGACTCATGAACTCTTAAGGCGAAAAGCGCCTACAGACCGTTCGAGGCGTTAGGGCTGTTGGGTCGTAGGGCTCAGGTGTTGGCTTATGCAGGGTTGGGGGAGGTTATAGAATTTGGGAACATCAAAAGGCAAAGGAAGTATATGTGAACAAGAACTCCATTCCGAGTTGCTGTGGGCCAGGTCAATACCGGGCAGTTCGTCAGCTCCTGGCGCGTCTGGTCCAGAACGGCTTAGACTTAGTAGAGTTCCCCAAAAGACGAAGCCACGATTTAGGGCGTTTAGGGTTTAGGGTAATCAAAAAAACGGTTTTCTTCTCGCAGAGCAAACTGCAAGGTCTGAATTATGGAGTTGTGCTTGTACAGAGGTTCACAAACTCCTGGACGACAGCCTACCAGGCAGCCCTCTGGGGACACACTATACGAGTAACAACACAGATTAGCCGAATATGGCCTAAACGAGACCACAATTAACAAATGTTGCGCGGACCATACGACTGTTTGATTTAGGCTACCCTGTAGCCTTTTTTGGAAACTATCGCCGAAACCCAGTATCAAACCATGTAAAGCCCGTGTAGAGCCCTGTAACAATCCTGTAGATAAGGGCCCCATGATGCCAAAGGACCCTAATTTAACCCGTAAACCCTAAAACCCTAAACTCCAAAACGCTAAACCTCAAAGCCCTAACCCCCAAACCTAAAGCCTCAAAGTACTCTGTTGCTGCTCCTTCAAGCTCCGCTGGCCGGCGAGCCGAGCTAGGCGACCGACGATGTCAACCTCATGGACTCATGGATTTCAATATTTTGTTGTGGCGTGTTTTAAAGTGCCTGGGTTTCAGGGTTCAGGTTTAGGCTGCGGTTTTGGGTTTGGAGCTTCAGGGTTTAAGGCTGAGGGTGTAGAAATGATCGGAAGGCTCAACATATTAGGAACCTCGATGAAACAGACCAAAACATGGCAGGATTAGTAAAGGCCCCTTATGAAAAGGGATCCCTTGCTTTCTGACACCTTGAGAGCTAGAGGGCCAAATGGTGGTGCGCAGGGTTCTGTCAAACATTCCTGAATTCTCAGTGTGCAAGCTGCTCAGGCACTTCAACTGGCATTTCTCCCACATACACAGAAGGCCGACGCATGTTGACCATCTACATGCATATATCGACCGCTGCAAACAAAAAATGCAGTATAAGCCAGTACTTGTCAACATGGCCCCTGTGTAGCCCATACAACATCATTTTATATCCCTCTCTCACGGAAGTCTTGGTTTAGGGCCCCGGGAGTTTCGCTTCGCGCCCTTTCGAATCCCTTCTAAACGAAATCCTTATGTAGCAGCCTCTCTTTAAACAAAAGCACAAAAGATATATCCGTGTAGTGACCCCATAGAAACCTTTTAGCAACCCTTATCCCTGCACCCCCTTCTTGGATTTGTTGGAGATCGCACGATTCCAGCAGAAACTCCTGGGGCCTCACAACTCTGAGTTGTGTCGGCCCGACTTACTACGGAAATATGCAACGTTCTTGCCGCTGCAGTGCATCTGTGTTCATCCACTTGCAGTTTTGGTGGCGTTTCTCACGGCGGTGGGGTCCGCAGCAATGGTCCGTGGCTTGATTTATATTGCTTGCTTCTGCTGAGGCACATCTGGCTTCGTCCAGTTCCTTGCAATCAGAGGAGGCTAGCTAGCCGCCATCACGCTGAGAACCAGCATTCTGAATAATACGTCCCTACGAGAGTGCGCACAAGCCAAAGTCAATCGAATCCCACGACCTTTTAACCGTTCCGGTAGACACTAGCACAGTCAAGCATGATTTTATCACCAAAAACGGCGCCCCTCTGTACATCAGTAGTCTTCAAAGCACAGAACAGCATTCGCATTCGTGTGTATGCGTGTACGTACTGCAATACTTATGCACCAACCTAAACATGCATCATACATGCACGCATCGATGCATAGATGCATGCGTGCACATATGCCTGTCTGAATGCCTGCCTGCGTACGTAATACCTACCTACCTACCTACCTACCCACCCACCGACCTACCGACCTACCGACCTAGCGACCTAGCGACCCACCGACCTACCGACCTACCGACCTGCCTACCTACCTACCCACCTACCCACCTACCTACCTACCTACCTACCTACCTACCTACGTACCTACACCAACCTGCCTACCTCCCTCCCTACCTGCACCTACCTACTCACCTACACCTACACCTACCTACCTACCTACCTCCCTCCCTACCTGCACCTACCTACTTACCTCCCTCCCTCCCTCCCTCCCTACCTACCTACACCTACCTACCTACCTACCCACCTGCCCACCTGCCCACCGGCCGACCAACCGAGCTTCCTTCTGCCCACCCACACACCCACCCATCCAGCCTGCCACTATACGAATACACATGCAGCAGGCAGGCATGGTCAGGCTAAGTCATTCATTCATGGCTGCCGCCATTCCACTATATTCTGACTATACGCATTATCGACCACTCGGTTTATGTGCGCAAGTGGCTTTCTGATTCTGTTTGAGCGTACTCGCGTGCCACCCAATGCTGCAGGGAGGCTCATGCATAAAGAGCATGGACTGAGCTGAGCATTTCTGACCCGCAAAGCCGTAGGCATCGTGATCCGCTTGCCATGCCTTAGGGCGATGACAGCAAAATTCCCCACTACAACCACCACCAGTGCCCATCCGAGTACTAGTCCTGTAGCCACTACTCAAACGGTTACGGGTCCGGGCTGTGCTACGTATGAATAGGCATTGAAAGGCATCAGCTTTGCACCGCCCTGGGCATGCCTGCACGACAACAGCAGACATCGATCTGGAGACCATCCCGCATGCAGCAATACATGTTGCCTGGAGTAGCCTGAAGGTGGATGTGGCTTCTGTCGAAACATCGCCCAGAGCACGACAGGAATGACACGGCAATTGTAGAACCCCAAACTCCAGCATTAAGATCTGAAATCTGAGAACACCAAGCCCCAAAAAGGCAACAAACATGAACAAGTTGCCACGTAGTCCACATCCATCACATCCTTGGAAGGTTACCGCCCCAAGCTCGCCACAGGTGTACGGGAGCCTCTCTCTCTTCGGCCAAGCTCCGGGAACCTATTCCAGCTGCTGACTAAGGCTTCTGCACTTCTGTGTTGTGCAACTAAAATCGAGACGTCGCATGCCTTTTTGCGGGGCCCTCCCCTGCTCTCCCCCAAATGCGCCCAAGGCACTGGGCCCAGAATCTTCCAGTCGAAACCTGCGTCTTCCAACTTGACCTGTGAGAGCAGCTACGTCGTTGAGATGTTGCCTTGAGCTCGGTATTCCATCAAGCGCAGGCAAGCAAGCGAAAGTCATGCACATATCTTGCGGGTGACTTGCTGACGCAGACGAAGCCAATGGAAGCGAGTAGCACAACAATGTGAGTTCCAGAACCATGTCAGGCGCAAGCCCGAAACAACTGTAGCAACTCAGTCCAGTCTTCGACTACCTCTGGCGTCCGGTACCGTGTGTCTGGCAGCTTACGAGATCGAAACGGCCGACACTCCACCACAGAAAGCTTTAGACCTCGCCACTCTCCTCCGAAGTATGTGCGTGCTAACGCCAAACCTGCGAACACTACACCCCAAATCATGAACCCAAAAAAACCCCAAAGTCTGATCTTAGAATAGTTTATGAGCCCCAAACAGCCCAAAAAATCTAAAACCCAACAAATCCGCCTTGCCCTTGAGATCCACAGCCAGCTTGTCAGCTACCCGCTGGGATCCGGTGAAGAGTGTCATCTTGGCATCTCCACCTGGACTAGAATGGGGTTTACCAGGGAGTCGGAATTGTAATAGAGGTGAGTGTCTATATGTATGTATTTATCTCTTTATATGTTTGCATGTATGTATTTATCTCTTTATATGTGTGTATGTATGTATGCACGCATGCATGCATGCATATATGTATGTATGTATGTATGTATGTATGTATGCATGTATGTATGCATGTATGTGTGCATGTGTGAGCTCTGATATGTACATATGTACATATATATACACACACATATATATATAGAGACAGAGAGAGAGAGAGAGATAACTAGCTAGCTAGATAGCTAGAAAGATAGATTAGACAGATAGATAGATAGATAGATAGGTAGATAGATAGATAGATAGACAGATAGATATGCGACTACAAACTATGTATGTATGTATATATATATTATACGTCTTACACAACATAGCAATATAGTATACTGTGCAACATCATTCAACTAAAATATAATGGCACTCTAAATATGCTGTTCAGGATTTGATGCCAGTAGGGCAAGGGGTCAGGTTTGCGAGTGCCTCGCAGATCGCTCTTTATTTTCTTAGCTCCAGCGCGAATACTACTATAAACTCCAAGCCCTCAGTCCCCCTAATCCTGCGCCGGGATGCGAAGAAGGACTTCATTGAAGACAGGCCCGTCGCAGTAGATGAAATCGATCTCGGTGCTCTGATACAAGAATTACTAGTATTTTTGACCCGGGGGCCTTGAAATGACTGGAGTGGAGTAAAGTAATGCTTATTTCTGTGAGAAAGCTGTGAGCTCTGAGCTCTGTAAGTTTGAAGAGGCCTCTGAAAGGAGGCTCTGAGGATCTTGTGAGACACCTGTTAGAAGCCTGTGGGAAACCTGTGTGAGAAAGCGGTGAGAAGCCTGTGAGACACCTGCAAGCGGGTGGTGTTTATGTTTGGGTCCGGCCGCCTGGCCTGGCTGCTGGAGATCCCCATCTATACTCTACATGACTTTACATTTGGCGTGCGGGGCTTTTCCGTGCACTCCCAAGTCGGGAAACCTGGTCCTCTGTGCTGGCATCGTGCACCAACACATCGTGCATATCTTGTGAGAGTTTCAACGCAGTACAAACCCTGAACGGCCCAAAACAACGGGATCCCTGACTTTTCGCAAGCTCCCACATGCAAGCTTTAGCCAGGAGGCATCAGACTTGGGAAGTCCAACAGAATGCAGCATCCGAAGAAACTGCTCCATGACGATGGCAACTTTCCAATCGACTTTCCTGGTTCATCCCACCACGCCACAAAAAAAAGGCTTATGGGGCGAACTAATGGCTTTAGGGTTCCAGGATGTTCTAGGATTTAGCGTGCTAGAGTCCGATCACATCAGAGGGGCAGACATGATATTTGCCACTGAAGGCTGCCACAAAGGAAGGCTCAGATCATTCACATGGCTCTGCTAGCCAACAAGGTCGGGGCATATTGTAGTACATTATACAATACAGGAACGCTAAGGAATAATATTTGGTAACTATGAAAGCCTCGATGCTAGCAGTACATGTTGCAACATATTTGGTAACTATGAATCATATCACATGCTGCACGTGGCTACTGTTGTCGATGGGAGTATGAGTCTAATGCTGGAACGAACTCTGAAACTCCTGCGGGCAGCCCTCTACACAACAATCACTACAACTTTCCGGGTTTAGGGTTTCGGATGCTTTAGGGTTTAGGGTGCTTTAGGGTTTAGGGTTTAGGGTGTTTTAGGGTTTAGGGTTTAGGGTGTTCTAGGGTTCAGGGTTTAGGGCTTAAGAAGGCAATGAAGGACAAACGGTCGACCCGCCAGTTTCCCTTTATCTCCCACACCACGTTTCTTCATGCATACACAGAGATGGAAACAACGATTGCTTCGCAACAGATATGGGTTCTCCCGGCGACGTTCTCCAAAACTTTGGCCAAAACAAGTTTCCTCGCGCTTATGTTTGGGAAGTTGTGGCTTCGCAATGCTTCGCAGGCCATTCAGGTGAGACGAAAACTAGGACTTTTCGGGACACTTTGTGGTCTCGCAGCGTGATTCTCCGAAACTGGCCTGCAAAACGTAGGCCAAGAGGCGTCGTGCACTGGTTGCCCATGAAAACCTCAGCTTAGCCGTGCCCGGACCTTTTCGCCGTACCACTTTGGGGTCTGTGACGCATCCATGGCTCGACGATGTGGGTGGGTGTGTACGTGCTCACAGTCTCTCTGTGCGGAGCAAGGCCTTGCGACCATGGAGCAGCAGAAAGAGACTGGATGCCACAGATCTCAAGCGGGAAGTTGAAAGGAGTAATGACCTTGCTTTCTTCGTGGGAATGCGAGCCGCTGGACAAGGAACATGATGTGAAAGCTGTGGAAAATCTGACCGGCCGCCGCCGCAGCTCTCCATCCTACATGCAAGATCTGTCTGAGGTCATGGCACTGACGCCACCGAACCTGAGCGGTTTAGGGTTGGGGCATAGAGTCTATAGAGTCATGCCGGCAGGGCCTCTATAGAGCTGCATGTAGATGGGGTCCTTTGGAGATGGGATACTGGTGCCGAAGTAGAAACAAACAGCTCAATTCCCCAATCCCTGGCCTGAATCACCTAAACTCCACACCTCGAAACTTGCATGTCTGGAAAAGCGGCCAAGAAGCGGCATTCGGTAGCCCACTGTAGACTGTCCGACATGATCCCCAGGCAAGCCCTGTGACTCCGCCAGCATGCCTTACATCCCGATGAAGGGAAGCTTGGCGAGGGTCTCAAACTGGGAAGCACGTGTCTCAAAACTCGACATGTGTATTTTAGCGGTTACGGACCCTCATAACAAGAAGGATGACATAGCGCCGCGACACGGACATTGTTGCCGCTGAAGTCTTGGAGCCAGGTCCTGACTGCCTGACATCATGTGAGTGCACAGACATCCCGCTACAGTCCGCATGGAAAAACCCTGAACAAATGAATCGAAATCGATTTAGGGTTTAGGGGGAATCGAAATCGTTCAGTCACACGTATGCGCCAAACCATAGACACCGCCTGCGCAACAGCAAAGCCTGGAGACATTTGGGCTGCCTGCCATTGCCTGCCCTGCACTTCCCGTTCTAAGCGCCCAGAGACCCATCACGGAAAGCGGTTCATTTTTGACCTTATTTGTGTGCTTATCTGTGCCTTTTAATTCATGTTGACCTGCGCCTTTTGAGTTTGTCTGTGCCGCCATAGTATGTGCACCACTAGTTGTAGCGGTAGTAGTCGTCAGCAGTAGTAGCAGTAGCAGTAGAAGTAGCAGCAGCAGCAGCAGCAGCAGCAGTAGCAGTAGCAGTAGCAGTAGCAGTAGCAGTAGCAGTAGTTGTAGCAGTAGCAGTAGCAGTCGTAGTCGTAGTAGTAGTAGTAGTAGTAGTAGTAGTAGTAGTAGTGGTAGTAGTGGTAGTAGTGGTAGTAGTGGTAGTAATGGTAGTAGTGGTGGTGTTGGTAGTAGTAGTAGTAGTAGTAGCAGTAATAGTAGCAGTAGTAGTAGTAATTAATTAATTCACACGCTGCACCCGATCCGATGCCTCGCGAAGGACAAGCGCTGAGCGCCCGGCAACTCTGTGGTTGCTAAGACCTTTGGCCCATCCTTTAAGTGACTGAAGACTACCTTGTGGATTTGTTCAATCCAAACTATCAAGACAAATTGTCACAGCGGCTTGCAATTTGACATCTTCACAGAAAGTGGAGCTTGCACTATCGGAAGTCGCAGCTACTCCTACCGCGGCTTCTGTTGCATCATCGGCCTCAGTCTCACCATGTGTCCTTGGCAGCTCCGTTGAAGCCTCTCCATGGTCCAAGCTGCGAGTCTCCAGCGCACCAGGTGCAGCCAAGCCGGTAGCGGAAGTTGTGGAGGAGCTCCCCAAGGTGCTGCCAGCAGCTGCCGTCTGAGGGCCCGAGCTCGAGGTGGTCGGCATGGTTGCCTCTGTCCGATTTTCCCATCGGCCTTGGGCGCCCAGGAAGATAGCCACCGCCGGATTCCCAAAGTTAGCATTGTAACAGCGCCGCGTGTGGCGACGCCCCTGAGTGGTGACACAACGACTGCAGCACGTAATGTGTCCCAAGCCAGCTAGGTGCGCGCAACCCGGGATGCTGCAGACTGTTACTCTGCCACGAGCATCGGTACCTGTCTGGTGACTGTCACAGCGCCTGGTATGGTGCTGGGACATGGTGTGCCTGCAAGCTGAGCAGCAGTGGCTATGGCCATTCGAGGGGAAGGTCCTGCCACAGCCATTGGTAGCACAGCGCGTGCGAGGCGTGGCCACGGCAGCGGCAGCAGTAGCCATGTATCGGACTGGCCGCGATCTCAGCGCGCGCCGAGGAGTGCTATGGCTCAAAACTTCAAGTGAAAGCTGCGCCGTAACAAGTTTGTGCATGCACATGTAGAATTAAAGAAACTGAATGAAAAAGGGCGGCGAGAATGTGGGTGTCACTCCTGCTCTGGGCATGGTTTTCACACTGCGAGCAGCAGGCTCCAGTCGTGAACGGCGATTATGCGCTTCGGCAGTTGCCATCGACCAGAGCTCACACCCTATGTCTACTCGATGCAAATGAGGCCCACTAGGTACCCATTGTGGCGTATGCGCGCCTGGTCTCTGGTCGTAGCTGGCTTGGGCTTGCATCTGTCTTGACAAATTTGAAAGATCCACTCCATCTGACCGTCATGACCGTCCGTGGGCACAACAGCAGTAGGGCAGCTGAGGGCAGCCTGGTAATGACCTGTGTGGGTGCTATCTCCTACGTGGAAAATCACAAAGGCAATGCGGAATCGGTCATGCCGGACCTGAAGTCCGGTGCTGGCTGTGAAGTGCGGTACCCGAATCACCGCACCTGGCCTGCAAAGGATGGGGACTTGGTTTTTGTGCGAACAGCCGTCCACATAGCTGTATCGTTTAAGCTGTAGCAGAACTAACCCCATGTGCATGTGAAGCGCATGAAGAGCAGGCTGAGCATGCCATGTGTCGACTGCAGTCTGCAAGTCTGGTCCGCAGGCCTCCAGCAAAAGGGGGCACTGCAGCTCGCCACCGTCCGTGACCTGATGCGGATTGGACATGCGCGCTTCCCAGTGACCGTTGTACGCAGGAGGCTGTGCGATGCTCAGAAAATGCTGTAGGTATTCACTGGCGTCATGCTGTTGCGCAATCTGCTGCCAGGTTTGCACATAGGGCAGCCAGGGGAGGCTGCGATGCAAAGTGGGAGTTCCTGGGCGCAGCACCATCTGCAGCGCAAAGTTAGCTTGCCCGTAGCAGAGCAACGGCGCAGAAGACAACCGTCCCTGCCAGGCCAATGACTGTGCAACTGAGTTCATGTAGCACAGGGAGTGGGGATTCTGCAGCCTGGCCTGCGGTACCTGGGGTGAGGGATGCGCAAGCTGACATGTGACTCTGCGGGCGGCCTGGTTCACAGTTCGTCCGTCTCTTGCGCCGTGCGGGGCAGGGTGGACTTCTTCTGCACCCGCGCTTTGGGCCTCGCTGTCCAGTCCGTGTAGGAGAGCTTGAGGTAGTGGTCCGCCAGCTCCCGGCACAATTGGGATGGCTGGCCTCTTTCTGGCCGTAGGCGTATCCCCGAGGGCTTCAGGCACGCGTTTCCATCCAGAGCGGCGAGGGCTTGATGACAGCGGGCTGTGGCCTCGTTCCGAAGCGACAGGGATAGCATGAAAGGAACCACCGGGCTGGTGTGCTCCCCCTCCAGTCCTCGAGTCGCCTTGAAGCGGGTGAGGACATTGGGATAGGCACTGCATTCCAGAAGCGTCTGTAGATGCTGCAGGGCAGTCTGGTGGCACAATGGTGGGCGTTCCGAGCGCTCCTGTTGCATCCGTTCCGGATTCCAGACGTGGTAATGCCAGACTGGAGTCAACGCAGTGGAGCCCTGGCCCATCCAGCCGACATTGGTGGCCCGCTGCTGTTGCTCTGGCTCCAGCATCAGTTCCAGTCGACGTTTGCTCCGCCGCTTTCTGAAGGAGAGGTACTATGCCTTCGTCGTGGGTGTCGACAAACAGCATCCACGACGTGTCCACTCGAAGCCTGGCCAGTTCTTCTTCGTGGCGTATGACCAGTTTGGTCATCGAGCGCAGCAGAGCTTGGGTCGCATAATCTGGCTCGCTTAGTGGCTTGCTCTCCTGCTCCCCCTGGTCGCCCCAACCGGAAGAACGACTCCAGTTTGCACTGTCCCAGCTGTTTCGGCCCCAATTCCCCTTGCCTCGCCTCTGGCCTTGGCCCTTGTTGGCCTCGGTTCCCGGTCGGGGGTACTTGGATTGCCGATCCTCCTCCTTTTCCTTGTCCTCCCCCGGTTTGCGCCGGGTTGCTGTCATCAGGCTGGGCAGCCCCGGCAGCGCTCCCATCACCTCGGCGTACTCCCGACGAGCGACTTCTGCCATCTCTGCATCCGCGCTGGCCGCCATTGTCCTGTGAGAGCCAAAGTGACGTGATTGAGGCCTGAAAAACCGCACCACATCTCGGAACATGTGCCCGAGGGTCCTTGTAGTCCTGGTTGCAGTAGCTGCAGGGACGCGTGTATGCAAGGCCCAGGCCCTTGCATCTAGACACGGCTTCGGCCTTCAAATTCCAGATTTCAGGGTGCGCAAGCCGATAGTGTTGCTTTGCCCCTGGCCCCTGCATGGAAATCCACTGTCTGCAAACCGCACAATGTGTACGAAGACTTTGCACAAGGTGAGGCCGGCGCAAAGCTTGTTTCCATTCGGCACGGGCCAGCGCACAGTACTCTTGATTCTGTACAAGAGGAGCTTCAGAGGAACCATCATTCGGAGCCCGGCACGTGTGCCCAGTACGCAGCTCCGCGTTCTTCAGGGGCACCTCCCCTGTTAGAACGGTGCCGGTGGTTCCCTGTCGCTTGGCATAGAGCACTGGGCAGGCCCCTTTGAGATGCTTGCGCATGGCCGCAACCCTGTTGAACTTAGCACCACAATGACGACATTCAGGCATACCATCTACTGTGTGCTCATAGTAGGCTCCGGTGGCTGCAGGGAATTCAGCTTCAGGGTGCTTGCGTGCATAATGCGACATGAGATGCTGCATGGACCCAAAGTATTGGCCACAGATGTTACATGCTATGTGTCGATAGGAATCGACCGGCTGCAGTTGCATGCTGGGGTCATGCACGTCCATGGGCGGCTGATCTCTAAGCCAGGCAAGTAAGGCCTGAAATCTATCGCGGCTGGGCGCGTCCATGCTGTTCGCAGCCCGGCGTTGTAGTAGCTGTTGCAGTGCTTGCTGTGGGGACAATATGCGCAACCTTTGCCGCAGGCGTACACTACTCTCATGCGTGAGGTGCGCCGGGCTGCGTGCAATTCCGCGCAAGTGACGTGCATCGGCAGCCTCGAGCCGCCGAAGCACCGCCGTGGTGATGCCCACTGCATGCTGTCCGTAGAGCATCGAACTCCGAAGGCAAGCTTGATACAACCTAACCCTATGATGCAAGCCCAGTTTGGCTGCGTGAAGCACCTTTATCAGGCGATGCTTGATTTGCGCACTCGCGCGCAGCCGCAGAGCACAGGTCTGCATTTCAAAGTTCGACAGGGAAGCTTCGACGCCAAGGTAGGTGAGGCTGTGAACTCGTGGGATGTCAATAGGATTACAGGGTGTGCCAAGCCTAAGAACCGGACCCTGGGGGGTTCTAAATAAGTGCTGGCGCAGCCAGGCTTTGGCTTGGGGGCCCTGCAGTTTGATGACTATTTTGGACTTGGAGGAGTTCACACTCATCCCAACTTCGCGTAAAGCCCGGAAGGTATGCTGCACGCATCTGCACATAAAGTGCAGGTCCCGCACACTGCGCACCTGCCACTGCAATACAGTGTCATCTGCATACATTGTGATGAAGTCTCGAGCCCAGTTCGCATCTGTGCGATCTTTGATGACATCATAGATCCATCCTGTGAAGATTGCATAAAGCAGTGGCGATAATGAACACCCTTGCCTGACACCGCACTGCATATCGAACTTATCCGTAAAGCCATTCTGGGAAATCTCGTATTGGCAGTGCTCGTGCAGGTCCAGCACCAAATCATGCAGCGCCGGCTCAACTCCTGCGGCCTGTAGCGCTTGGGAAAGCGCCTGGCGGGGGACTGTGTCGAACGCTCTGGATAGGTCGATGCTCAGTAGCGCACCGCCACTGCAGGGAACCGAACGAGCCCCAGCGCGCTTAGCATGCACACTATCCACCCCCGCTTTCAGGCTTTCCCGCGCACTTTGGCATCTGTGAAAAACACGACTGATTGCTTCATCCCCGGAGCGGCCAGCTATGTAGGCAAACTGAGGCTTATCTGCCAACCAACCTCGAACCTGCTCCTGCAACCGGTTGCGAACTAAGCCCGCTAGAACTTTTGAGCTAGGATCTTGTAATCCTAGTGGGCGAAGGTCCTGTGGTCTACGAAGTGGTTTTTGGGGCTTGGGCAGTAAACTGAGGGTACAATCTGTCATAGGCGGAGGCAGTTTGGGACCCAGCTGCCGACTATGCTGGAAGGTCACTTGAAAGTACTCAGCCAGTTCTTGTGGGCAGTGCTTCCAGACTTCCGCCGTGGGACTGGCGGTGGGTACGGCCTTCATGTTTTTCAACTGATGAATTGCAACCACAATCTCAGGCTGAGTGAACTGTGGATCTGCACAGGAGGACGTGTACTCCAGCGGCTGCATGCTGCTAAATGCTGCACGAAAATATTCTAAAAGCGCCTGAAATTGTTGGGCCTTATCAAGGAGTCTACCATCAGCACCGCGTACACGAACAGACTCGTACCTGCGTTTAGGAGCAATTCGTTGTATGACCCTATAGACAGTACGCATGTCATGCTTGGCAGCTGCAACCTCCGCTTGTGCAACCTGGTCCTCCAGCCAGCGTTTGCGAGCATTGCGGCTGATGGCGCGCAGAGCCCTCCACGCCCGCATAAAGTCTCGATAGCGGAGCCACGCTGAGAAGATTTGTCTAGACGCGCTACCTGCCTGTCTAGCTTTGAGGGCTCTGTGTCGTCGCCACATTTCCCGAATCCCCTCAGTCACAGCCGGATCTTCACCTGGCCGCATGGTGGAGGTTTTCTTAGCCGGGTAGTGTTGTTGGCAGAGCCTGAGGAGGGTCCTGTTGAGGTCTTGCAGCGTAGAGCGTTCCGCAGTGGCCTGCACCACGGCCGCGCGGGCTTGCGACCGGAATGCTTCGGTGCGAGCTGTTGGGTATTGTAACTCTCTAGCAAGTTCCTCTTTAGAGTACTGGGGCTTGTGGGGGACTAAACCCTTAGGCAACCTCCAACCCGGCACTATGGGAATAGTGGCAGCAACCGCCCTGTGCTTGGGACCTTCTCGGCCCGGCGCAAGGTCCAGCGAGGTCGGCCTGGCCCGTCTCGCCAAAGAGTCGGCGTTTCGACGCCGCACTGCAACAAAGTCAATTTGCGAGACTACCGCGCCATTCCGAAATGTGGCACAAACAGCAGGCTTGGCTTTACTCCAAGTGTTCAACAAGCAAAGCTTATGTTCTTCCAACACAGTAAGAAACTCAGACTCAGGCTTTCGGGTGGGGTGGGGGAGTAAACCTCTGCCAATCAATCCAGGCAACGAAGCTACCGTGGAATTGAAGTCGCCTCCCAACACCAACATGTTGCGCCGTGGCAGGCCCCCCAGGAGACCACCAAGAACCGACCAGAACTTGCTGCGAAGCTGTTCCGGGTCCCTGGCTGCGCTGTCCTTGCGTACCCACTGATAGGCACAGATGATGTCAAGGTTGGCCTGCTTGGCTTCGCAACGAACTTGTAGTATCCGACCTGGCAGCCACGTGCAGAAGGAGAGTGTGTGCGCGCTGGCAATACGTCGTGAAATGACCACCCCCACGCCGCTGTGTCGCGCGCCCGGATCCGGTGAGATAATAAAAAGCCATCCGGGGATGGCCCAGGAGGCCTCTTCTTGGCCTAAGCTCCAGTGGATCTCTTGGAGCAGCAGCACATCCACCTCTTGATTATTCTGCAACCAGCGCCGAAGCGTGTCGTACACTGTCATGGTCATCCCCCCCACGTTGTACGTCATTACGCGCAGTCGTTGTTTGGACTGCTGACACTGGGACGCCCTAGGGATTCGGCTGGTAGCACCAGTGTGCTGAGACTGCTGGGGTCCTGAAATGGATCTGCCCTGAAGCTCCTCTAAGGAGCACCAGTGTCCTCTGTACATAGTTCCAGCGTCCCGACTTGTCGCCGCTCGCCTGCAGGCGCGCTTGTAGGCGCGCTTGCGCATCCAGGAAAAATGAACTGGTCTTCTGTCCTTTCCAGAAAGTTTCGCCCCTAAAGGAGCTCTCGGATCAGCTGTGGGCACTGATCCAACCCTCGGGTCAGCGGGCCTTCCTCCTGTTGATTGTGCTTCCATGAGGATAGACCGCAGTGGGACTTGGGACCCACTCTGGCTGGTATGTGTCGTGATATGCCGTAGCTGTTGCAGTTGTATCCAGATAAGAAAGACAGTGAGCAACGAAATTCCCATCACGCAAAGGGACCGTCTACCTGCAACGCTATTTCCTTCCAGCCGAGACCCTTAGTAGTAGTAGTAGTAGTAGTAGTAGTAGTGGTAGTAGTAGTGGTAGTGGTAGTGGTAGTGGTAGTGGTAGTGGTAGTGGTTTTTGGTGGTGTGGTGGTGGTGGTGGTGGTCGTGGTAGTGGTAGTGGTGGTATTAGTAGTAGTAGTAGTAGTAGTAGTAGTAGTGGTGAGAATGCGATGTTCATAGAAACCGTGCCAGGTGTCGACGCTTCTGTACTTCGGATACATGGCCATTATGTCGCTCCTCTTCGGGCTGCTGACAGGTTCTATTGGCCTGTCCGCGACTTGGACATGTTCGCTTGATGCTTTGCTACCCTTAAGTGACAGAATTCCTTTCTGCCGGACACGTCTTGAGTCTGAACCCATGGTGTCATAGAGTCGGACCAGAATAGGTCCAAACAAACTTGTCCACTGCACAGCTGCCCGGTGCTTTTGCGTTCGGACCAAGCCCGGGAAGCGCCCGGGTGTCGTGCACTTTTCACAGCCGTTACCGCCCTGGGCTTGCCTGGCAAGCCCCGACGCGCTGATGCATGATGCGATCGCCCTCTGCTTCTTAGGCATTATTCTGGGTGCCGCCACAGCATCAACTAGCTGTTCAGGAACATGTGAGCGGCTAGGTCCCAGTCAAAGTTCGTCTCTTCTGCAGTCACATGTCGATCACCGAGAACTGGTGATGCAACCCCATGAGGCGGCCAATGCTACATCAACAACATTAATCATGCAGTCCACATCAGAGCAAGCATCGGTTGTCACGTCGACCGAGGCAGTGCAAACCAGTGAGACGGGAGCAGCAAGCACATCCTCGACCCTCACTGTCATGGCAGGAGCAGTCACCACGGTTGTGCAGGCCAATACTACTACACTCGTGCCTTCCACATCAGAGCAAGTTTCGACCGTCACTTCAACCGATACTACTGATACAGTGGGAACCACCGAGAAGAGTGCACCAGTCACGACGACCCTCACTGTCATGGCAGCAACGACGATTTCGGAGAGCAGAACCACGTCGGTCCCCGACGATCTGACTACCAGCTCAGCTCCTGCTTCGACGGAGTCTTCGACGGAGTCCACGACGAGCACCACAGCCATGGTCACAGACTCCACGACCTCGGCTACGGCGACAGAGATGCTGAGTACGTCTGCGAGTGAAGTCGCGACGTCGACCGCAATGGTCAGCAGCACAGAGAATGAGGGTGCAACCTCGTCTACTCAGGTTGCCTCGTCTGCTGAAGGCACCTCGAGTCCTGCAGCTTCATCCTCAGTGGTTGGCAGTACAACGGACGAGGCTCCAGTTTCATCTCCTCAGCTTGAGACATCGACTCCGATAGTCAACAGCACCGCAGAGCCCAACAGCACAGAGGTCAATTCATCCTCTCAGCCCTCGGAGGAGAAAGGGGGGAAGTCTGGCTGCAGAGGCCCCGGCCTTGGCCTTGGTCCCAGGGCCATTTGGGCCCTGGCAGCTGCACTGCTCTCGTGAAACGCAGAAAAAGACCGGGAGTTTTTGGGTGCACAAACACCGTAAACATCAAAAACGCCTTCCCCTCAACCGTGCTTCGCGCGCTCCAGGATCTCCTCCTTCTTCTTCGTCAGGCCGAGCAGAAAGAAAGAGAGAAAGAGAGCTCTCTCTCTGGCTTTGGTCGCGGCCTTACGTTTAGTCTTTGTTGTTTAGTTGCTGCGCCCCTGGACACACTGACAATACAGTCATTCATCGGGGTTTTTCCTTTGTAAAGCCGAGCCTCCCATGGGGAAACCGTAGGAGGAGCAAAGACGCCCCAAGGACTGCGGGTGTGCGCTCGCGCGCAGGGGGGGGGGTTGGACCGCCCTTCTCCCTTTCCCCCGAAGAGAGAGAGAGAGAGAGAGAGCCCACAGCCCTAACGAAAGAAAAAAAAGAGAGAGAGAGAGAGCGAGAGAGAGAGCGTGACCCGTAGTCCTAACCCCAAAGCAAAGCAAAGAGCGTTACCCCGAAAGGGGCCTAGAGGACGAACCGACGCGAACCATGGGGGTAGGCCCTCGGGTCAGGAGTGCGTGCACTCCACACCCCTAGCAAGCAAGCAAGCAAGAGAGAGAGAGAGAGAGAGAGAGGGAACTTCCCCTGCCCACAACCCTGACGAAAGAAAAGAGAGAGAGAGCTGCGTGCAGCTTGGGCGCATGACCTCCGGCCCTTGCTTGCAGGACCATCTATGGGTCGATCAAGGTGGATTGATCCGCCCTCCGCCGGGCTGCGGCGAAGGTGTCATGTAGCAGTGCACGATGGAGTGCATGAGCCTGGCGGCCTCCGGCGGCCTCCGGCCTCCGAAGCCCTTGGCCGAAACCCGGCTTCCGCAGACGTAAGTGACGAATGGAAGCACGAACTCTGGGTTGCGGGGTTTCCGTGTTAACGTCCCAAGGCAGCTTCTAGACCTGCCCTTGTCGTCGCAAGGATGTGCAAAAGCACGCAAAAGCACACTGGCGAGTCCTGCGCGAGGTCTAGACTGCCTCAAATAACCGAAATGGTGCAGGCAGAATTCATGCTCGAAGTAGTGGAGGTGACGGGGGGCAAGAGCTCTCTCTTTGCCTCGCTATATCAAGTTCTGCGTGGAGCGACCTGCGTGGAGCTATCAACAAGGTGGCTTTGCTTTTTGCAAGGCTTCTTCAATCTATACAGCCGGAGCAGCTGTGAGACTCAGCAAGCCCTTGATTGTTTCGGCCTGCCTTGCGTGGCTCACAGTTGCTAGGATTTTACGGGTGAGGGCGGCATTCTGCCGTAGCCAGCTGCAGGCAGGGGCGTCACTGCCACTGCAGAGAGTGGAGGTCCATACTACTCGCTGAAGCAGAGTCAACTCTTCCATGTCACGGAGCGAGGGCACAAGAACATGGGCGACAGAGGATGCAAACTGTCAGGCCCCGCCCTTCAGCAGCGCATGACCGCGAGGCACAGAGACGGGGCCTTGCATTCTTCTTTGCTTTGGTAAGCATCTACGAAGCTAGCGAAGGACGGGGCCAAGAAGCGCGAGAGGAACGAAGGATCGTAGACGCCCGAGGAACTCCCGACAACTTTTGAAGGAACAGCATACTGACAGACGACTTTCTGGGAAACAAGTTCGATTTCCGGAAGATGTGACAGTCGGCAAAGTCCGCTGAAGCTAGGCCTTCGAAATGCTACAGCTACATCCATGCTACGATCGAAAGTGGATGCTCGCATGGGTGGATCGTAGATGGAGTTCAGACAGTGCTAGAGTAAACGGTCAGCGCTGGCGAGACCTGAGTTCCAAAATGACGGAAAGCGGCATGATGTGGTTTTCGAGCCTACTCATTCAGATTCTTCCGATCTGCAGCAGGTGGCAGCCGCAGTGATCCGGGTCTCAGACATGCCCCGGGCCCAGACCGCGACCGACTCCATGCTGAGTTGCAGAGAACTTGGCTCCCCTGTCTTTGACGGTCACGTTTTTCTGGAAGGTCGGTGGCGAACGGCGAGGGTACGAGGGCAGAGCCAGGCCTCCCCCCGCGTCCGGCGCACGGCACATTGCAGGATGCAGGGTCGTCTTCGACAGGACACAGCCAGGACTCTGCCTCCAAGTGCGGCTCCGAGTGCCCATTTTTGGCCGCAGCAATTGCACCATGAGGGGTGCCGTAGAGAATTTGTTCCAGGAGGGTTTGTTACGTCGTGCGTTGTTTGCGGCATGTTTTCAAGAGGGGGTTTATGGTCTAGGGTTTGTGGGATTAGGTTTTTTTTGGATTTAAGGTTTCTAGTTTCTAGGTTCAGAGTTTAAGGGTTTAGGGGTTTCTGGGTGTTTCTGGGTTTAGGGTTTCTAGGTTCAGTTTCTGAGTTTAGGGTTTCCGGATGTTTCTGGGTTCAGGGTTTCTGGGCGGGCTTAGGGGTTAAGGTTTCTGGGTTTCTGGGTTTGGGGTTTCTGGGTTCAGGTTCAGGTTTCGGGACTCAGGGTTCGGGGCAAAACCCTCCAATTGTGGGCCCCACTCCCCCGTGCCCTTAAGGAAAGGTTGCGTCCGACCGGGCTGCGGACCCGGCTTGCATTTAACGTCCGCCTCCCACTGCGGAGCAATGTAGGCAATATTTCGAGGACCTCCCCCTATGACCGGCCCCCTGAAGCACCACTCAGAATGCATCCGGTTGTGCCACGAGGCAGCCGCCGCCGTCCGTGGGAAAGTCCGTTCGCGCGACGCTCGCCCGGCACCCAAAACGCAACGCAGCTGGCGAGCAAATGCTTTGTTGAGTCTTCTTGGCCTCGCGAGGCGAGCCTGGACTGGCCACCGCCCCCGAGCCCTGCCACGCTTCTGCGACCGAGTAGTGCGAAGCTCGCCCATGCTGAGAGACTGGGAGTGTTTGGAGTTGTCTTCTCAAGTCCCGCTTGCTCGAAGCTTCGAGGTCGAAGCGGGGAGGGGCGCATGGTCACAACAGGGCTTTGAAGAGTCCAACTTCCTCGGCTGTATGGCTCCAGCTTCACAAAATTTCCCGAATTGCGTAGTTAGGAACAGCTTTTGCGGCAGAAAGTCGTCGATGCCTTGCTGCATGTGGCCTTTCTCAGAGGATCAGGAGGATGTGCCCGGGTGTGTTGTTCTTTGCATATTTACTCGCATTGAGGAAAGAATGGTGCCTCCGCCAGAGATGAGTCAGGAGCAGCTGCTTGGCTACACCTGTGCACCGGCGTTGTGGCTTCTTTGGGTCTCAAGTGGGACGACCTCTGAGGATGTGGATGCAGCGACAGCAGCCCGGGCAGGATGCTCCGGTCCTAATCTTTTCATGCATGTGGTGCACAGAGAGGGTGCACCGAGTGTGCAACTGAGTGCCTCTGAGGGGTGGCACCCGCAGCAGCAGCCACAGCAGCAGCAGCAGCAGGTGGTCATTATGGTGCCTGCAGATTCTTGACGCGAAATTCAGTCGAACGAGTGCGTCTCCAACCCCAACTGAGAGATAAGTAGAGTCGGATGTGGAACTGATCCGTTTGGTGCTTGCCACGGAAGTGGGCATGAGGACCGGCTGATGCCCAACTACGGCCTCCAGGGTGATGCCGGAGGCGGCGCAGAGTAAGGGAAACCTACTTCGAGTAAGATAAGCCACCGCTTTTGTTTGGTCCTTCCTCAGGGATGGCCCCGATGCCCGAGCCGCTCAGTCGCACACCAGAGCTACTCCAGAGTCTTGCTTGAGGGCTCTTCCTGTTAGGAGGCACTGCCGAGAGAACAACACACCCCCATGCGGCCCATGCGTGCAATTCAGGTATCAAGGTGGCTGGTGGGGCCAGCAAGTCTACCAGCCCCAGGCGGATTCAGTCGGCTTCACCACTTTGATACAGTCTGCCTCTGTGTGCTTCTGCACATCGGGATACGGGAGCGGATCTTGTGCAGGAGCAGATGGCGGGCTTCTACCAGGCACGGAGCTCTGTGAGCTTTGCGAGGTGTTTGTGGATTTCCGAAATGGCAGGACCACAGCCTGGCTCCACATCCGGTCTTCCAGCCTGCATGTGCCAAAGCAGCGTGGGAAGCCCACAGGTGGTTGGGATTTGTGGGAGGCAAGGCGAGGGGATCTGTTCCGAGGTTGCCAGGACCATGGGCAATGCAGCAGATGCAGTCCCTACAGCCTTCTCACGTTGGGAGCTGAGATGTGCTGGGAGACTTCTTTTGGAGCAGCCATGGGGATGCACGGAGCTGCCACGATGTGTGAATCGCTGCTAAGGCTTGTCCTGCAGCGGCACAGTTTCAGGTCCTCCAGGGTTCGGACTGCGTCTCTCTCTGGGGGCTTCTAAAACGCAAGGAATCCCAAGCTTCCCAAGCTTCAGGTGTCTCCGGAGTTGCAGCATCAGCAGCTGCAAATGATGAAGCTTGGCAAACAAAGCAAGAGCTTTGGATGTTTCTGCCGTGGGTTGCTAGAAGGTGGTGGGTGCTTGTATGGTCCTCATTCAAGTTGTACCGCACATGGTCTAATGGCAGAGTTCACAGCCCGAGCGACGGCTGAGGGCGGTCAAAGCACCAGAGAGAACACCCGAACCACCGGTGCCTTTCATGCGCTTCAGAAAGCTGTTTTTCATCATCCTCGTTGTTGGAAGTGTTGGCAGCTATGATCGACGTTCTATCGACAGAGACTCTGCGTGCAAGTGACAGCATATCTCCGGGAGGCACCTCCGGATACAGAAGTGGTCACAGAGCCAACATCCCGGTTGGAGGCGGATGCTGTACCATTGTTGATCACAGTTCAGAAGCTCGGAAGCTTGTTCCCTTCGTCCTGCGCTTTTGCAGGCAGAATTAGACAGGTTCGGAGTTCTTGTCAGGTGCCAGCAGATGCTTGTGGGGGCACAGCATTCCCGACGCCGCGAAGCACAGAGGTCCCTCCGGCAACTTCGTCCGAACAGAGAGGGCGTTTTCAGAGGCGGATTCGTGGCCCAGAAGCCGACAGATGGCGACTAAGGACCGCAGTGACGAAGGCGAAGTGGATCGAACAGAGGAGCAGAGGCGCGTCACCGGGCCTGGAAAGCCTCGAGGGCCTCGAGAGAGCAGTTTTTCGAAGGTCTCGCCTCAGTGCCAGCGCAGCTCGCCGCCTCCGCCGGAAGCGCGCCGCTGAGCGCGCTCAGCGCGAGGCCACGTCTGCTGCGGACAAGTGCACGGCTTTGATGTCATTTTCTCAGCTCGGTAGACAATTCTGCAAACCGACGTGTGACGTTACTTGAACGCATGATGACATGGCGGAGAGCCCAATCAGGCCGACCTCGCCCTCCCCGGTACCGCAACCGGGCTGCACGGAGCAGCACCACCTTCGCATCTCTGACAGTTCTTCCGAACAAGCATCATCGGGGATGCAAGTCATGCAGCATATTGAGAAGTGTGAGATATTCAGTTCCGTAGATGTAGCAAACGTTTCTTGCAAGCAGTGATTGCGGCTTGCTTCCCAGATATTTCCCGAGCACTGCGAGCAACTCCGGGAGCAACTGCAGAACGGCAGTGCCTTGGAAGAAACGAGCTTGAGGAGGGTTTAGCACAAGTCTAGGCATGTGTTCAGCAGACAAGCCGCTAGGCTAGTAAACTAGTAACATATGTCGGGAAGACTCTGGCATCAGTCCATAGTCGCTTGATGCTTGATTATTGGAGACGGCGATAGTTGTCGGCACCTTTGGCGGGACTTCCCTTCTGCATTGCTTTGTGCAAATGTATGAGGCGGAGATGTCCGAGACATCATTCGACGCCTTCGTGGACAGGCACCGCGACCTTTCGAGAAGCTCTCACCATGCTCCCAGCCCCGACACTGAGGTTTGGTCGCTCTCGCGAGATGCTCACGGTTGTCGGCTAGTTCAACAGGCCATCCTGGAGCAGATGCACGAAGATGTCAGTGTCTCCTTCAGCGGAGGTTCTCGAAATGGCTGGTCAGCGTGATGCTTACGAAGTCGCCAAGGAGCGGGCATCCTCGGCACACAGTCACTTCACAGCAGCTGCCAAGCTCAGGAGCTGGAAGGTCACATCTTGGAGGCCGTAATGTGCCCTCACGGCAATTATGCCTCTTGGAATGCATTGAGACTGACGCTAGCCGCTACGCACCCCCCAGAATCTCTAGCTGCTTTCCCTCCTGTCTCGGCTCCCGCTTGCGGTCCTTCGTCGGAGGTTGTGCAAAAGATCGTGTCCCAGCTTTCCGTGCGCCTTGGCGAAGAGAGCCGCGGCCCTGTGGCCACGGCTCGCAGCGGCTCGCAGCTCTTCTCCCCCCCGAAACTTCCCGAGACGCTCCTGCCGTCACGTTCACCGCTCCACCAGGGCCTCCAGCGACTTTGTTGCACGAGATCTTCAAGGCCATGTGGTGCGAGCTGCTTTTCTGCAGGAAGTCGGTGAAATGGGTGCAGCAGTGCAGCCGGGCTGCTTCGTGCAGCAAAAAGTCTCGGTATTTCGTCCATGTCTCGCTTGCGACCGTCTTTGGTGAATAACGTCGAACGGGATGGCCCGTGAACTCAAGCAAGCCTCTACAGATAGGCTCTGCATGCTACATAGGCCACACTGAACTTCCAGGCGAGATGTGTGCATTGTGGCCTGGCAAATGTCCACGTTTTGTGATGGACATGTCTGCAAAGGTTGCGAAACACCGTTTTGCTTGCCGGATCCTATGTCGCTTGTTGGCCACCTGGCGGCAGCTTGTGGTGGTGCGGTCCATGCCAGATGGCATCAGCGACGGCAATGTGGGCCCAAGGAGTTCTGTGGTTCGAGTGCTCGCACCTCGGAGCTCGTGGACGAGCTGCTGCAGGAAGCAGGCCCTTTGTGCCGAGGCTGCATTCTTGTGCTCTGAGAAGCACAACACGAGTCCTACAGCAGAGAAGACGAGCTGCATCCATGCAACCTTCTGAGGTGTTGTCACAGTTTCGCGCACCATGTGATCCAGTCCGCAACCTGCCACGAATTGAAGGAGGATGGAAGTGCATCATTTCATGGCCATCGAGACGATGCGTCTGTCTCCTTACAGCTATCTAGTACTCAGGTACTGGAGCATGGACTGGACAAGCACAAGGACTTCACTTTGGATGCACCTGTAGACACTGTTATTGGCTGTATCCACTACATCCCTCATCTGGGATTTGACGGAATCAGCAGCCATGATCCTGCATCAAACGCTAATGAGCCAGCAACCAGCAGCAGACGCGGCGGGACGATTCAGAAAAAAGCATCAGAGAATCAACAAACATGCTGAGCTCTTGCGACTGTTTTCTCGAACGAAAACACAACTGACCTCTTGTCAGCATTAGCTTCAGTATAACATGAACATGGGTGGGAACATGAAGCTGATGCTCTGTCAATGTCATCATAAAGTCATAATGTTGATGGGATGAGGTAAGTTCATGCAAGTGCTTCACATTTCTTCCTGCTCCTTCGCACAAGGCACAACAGGAAACATGATGCGAACTGCTGGGGTGTGCGAGGTGGAAGCAATGGAGCTTGCCACGGGCATAAGCAATGCAGCCTTCGTGTCGTCGAAAAACATGGAATTTGGGCAGTCCAATGAGGGCGATTTGCATAGAAAGAGCGACATAGATGAATCTGGATGTGTACTGGTCCACGTGATTCTTATGCTTTTTGCAATGCCGCCGCGACAATTGAGGAGCACCGTAAATCTTGGTCGTGGTGGTGTTTTCTGCATGGGATGGTCAGGATGTTGACAGCCTTGGATATTTTCTGCCTCGGGTACACACATTCGTGTTCATGCAGCAGAAGATCAAGAAGTTCTGGTAGAAATGCTTTCTCGTTGGACCCATGTCTTGCTATGCTTCTGTTGAGCTTTTTTCTCCTGTCTTCGCCAAGCCTTCAACAAAAGCAGCGCAGAGCAACCATGGCATAGAACCAACGAATCTTTCAAATCAGAATCATGAATCTGACAGTGCATAGCCAAATCTGAGCCCTGGAACCTCATGTCACGTACGATGCTGGCTCCACGCCATCCATGGAGTCCCAATCCTTTCGCGCAGAGTAGGTTCAGACACAGCATCCTAAAGGAGATTATTGCACTGGCCCTGAACGGGGACCCGATGAAATTTGCAACTTGGACAGCCCTTCTTTAGTACCGCGGCAAACCCTGCAGTTTTAGCAATTACCCCAGCGGGCTCAACTGCTCAGGCTACGCACAAGAACTCCAGCTACCTCATTGAGAAGGCCCTTTGCTACTGCAGCGCGGACGACAGGTACACGCTCACTAGAAGCACTTAGTCGGAGAGTCCTCAGGCGTTGGGGTTTCGGAGATCTAAGACCTAACATGATCTAAGGCTGATTGCCCGGCTCGGCTCTCCGAAGTCTCTTGTGGAGCAGCTGGGCTTTCATGTTCGTTTCGGGCCTCGAAGGCAGGAGAGCTGGTTTCCGAGAGCTCGCATCTTGTGCAAGGCTGGCATACACGCAGTATGGCTGCTATGTCGCGAAGGCAAAGCTGAACAACCAAAGTAGTCTGAAAGCTTACCCTAGCCACAAGGCTCTGGGAACCTGCGCCCTTTGTTCGTGCCAGGCGATCCTGTCCTTGGAAGATCGCCAGATCGACAAGGATGCGACAATGCTCCTTGACTGGATTTCGGCCTCTGGTACGGGCAGAGATGAAGCAGATGTTCTTGCCCATCATGCCCCAGGCATGAGCTCTGGAAGCAACGGAAGGAGCTGGAGCGCTACAGGCAAACAAGGGATCGGATTCCTTTCGGGCCTGGATGGTTGCCTGTTGCTTCCTTGCGTCGCCTTGCACCCTAGGCATGGCCATCGTCTCTTGGAGGACGGAGGGCTAAGCGCGTCTCTTCTCGCAATGTTGTGCATAAGTGTCAGGATTTGGGCCTCATTGCTGGCGAGGAGGGTGCAGAGTAGGCTCGCAGCTTCGCTCAAATCTTCCTCTGGGCTTCGCATGGCTCCAGTGCGGTCTAAGAGTCTTGTAAGCACTACACGAAGCCGCATGGATCTTCCCGAGCTGCCAGTCGCTGCAGGTGACGACGAAGTGGCGTCCAACTGATGATCGCCTTTTGGCGGAGATGCCTTACCCGCCGGAGTACTGACCAATCGCAACAACATTGCAAACGCACATTTAAACAAGAGTTGTATGATGTTGTATGTTATTCCACCTGTCCTTTGAGTTTATGATCTGGTCAACCCTCTCTGTAGGGGGAGACAGGTGTGTCAACCACGGCAGCCATACTGTTTCGTAGACGATTGAAGAGCCTTCGGAACGAATGAGGGGAAGCTCTGCATGTGTTTTCTTGTCACTGCCGGCCGGCTGGAACACCTGTTTCACCATGTGGCTTTACAGTCTCGAACCCTCGGAGGTGAGACGGCGCAATGCTTCTGCTAACAAACGAGCTAGTTTGACAAGCCCAAGAGGGCATTTATTTGCGCCACTCATCTCGTGGGACCCGACGTCGGAGATCCATGAGCTGCGGCCGTGCAGACTTGGGTTTGGGTGACACCGCAGCAGGTTTTTACATAGGTCAGGGAAGGAAGAACTGCGCCGCTCAGGCTCAGACCGACTAACTGCATGCAAAATTCTAATCAGGACAAGCTTGGCCAACAGAGGAGTATGGCATTGGGAGAGTTTCGGCCGAAGGGTTGACGCTCGGGCGAAAGCATGTGTAGGGCCTTAGTTGGCCCCTCCCCGTGCTGCTCCAGGCTCTCAGCGATGTCCTGTCTAGACTTCAGTGACCGGCTCGCGTGATGCGACATTTTGTGACACAGCTCATCTTTGGCTAAGCCTTCACACCATGCTAACCTATTGTGCTCTCAGGAGATGAGTGAGAGGTCACTGTTCAACCCCGTTGGAGGTGAGACCAAGTTCCAAGCCATTCCAAGCCCGTTGTGGCGAAAACGCGTCGGACGACGTTGCGCCGAAGAGTCCGGTGTGGGACCGGCCCTTTTGTACAGGCAAGCGTCTGGTTCTTCTGCGGCCTTTTGCTTGAGCCAAGTACTCCTTCGATTTGCAAGCGGGTTCTAGATCTTCCATTTTCCTACTGGGACTCTTAGCTGTTCCAAGCACGTCAAGGCAATCGAAGGTCTGGGTGCCTTTGAGCAGGCCAGGGAAAGTCATCGTGAGTGTTATGGAACAAGTCGTACGACTGACAATCTTCGGACATTTCCCTCAGGCTCTCAAACGCGTTCGTTTGGTTTGACTGCCTTGCGTCGTAGCGATATCGCTCCGCGGACAGCTCTGCTGGCAAGTGCAAGCCAAGAAGGGCCAAGTGCCCTGCAGCGCTACGGAAGGTGGCGGAATCTTCTCGAGCTGGTGTATGATGGACCCGATATGCAGAGCTCGGTTCGGTGCTTCTAGACTTCTCCACGAATCACCAAAGCCGATCTCTGTGCATTTTAACACTATGTTCCAGAGACCCGCTGCTTGGCAGAATGGATGTCCGGTCGTCAGCCGAGACAAGACGAGGGGCTGAGATGCGACTGGTGAGTGCTTACTCCGCCCCATCGTCTTCGTGGCAACCTCGCTGTTGACAGCGACAGCGCGTTTGCACCGAGGTAGTGCAGCTGACCACAGCCGATCCTTGGCAGGGGTCTTAGCCTAGAATCGATCGTCTTTGGCCTCAGAGCGAGTCACCCCGAGAGGCCCTCAGCGCCAGCGCGCCGACACTGGCATTTACAGAGTCCCAGGCCGTAGAAAGTTCTTCCGTAGGCAGCTTCAGTCTTGGTTTTGCAGGCTGCCTTGAGGGCCAATGAGCTTGCCAACAGAAAGGACCTGATGAGACATGTCTCCGAGTATACTGGGCAGTTTGAGATTCGCGGAATTGGAGAGTGCATGCTTTTGTCTCGCGCAATTCGGTGGCTGCGCCCCTGCTAGGAACTTTGGAATTTGCGCGCGGATATCGAGAAGGAGAAGCTTCGCTCCTCCGCTGCACACGTGGACCCTCTGAGTCTGCCACAGATCGATTTACTTGTGGCCTGTCAGTAAGCAGTCCCAGTCCTTTGCGAATGGGCTCGCAACATATGTCAAGGTCATGTGGCGCCCTTTCCCTTCTTCGGGCGGGCAATGCGCTTTCAGGAGGGGGAGGGTCGGCTCACAATACGGCAGTTTGGTTTCCTGGATCCTCGGGACCGGTTATGCCGAGTCAAACTGCTTGATGGCTCACCAGCTCGTGCGCGAAGTCGCGACAGGACAAGTTTGCGGCTCTTCAGATTACTGACGATGGTCGTTTTAGCCGGCCCCTCGGAAAAGCGGCAACTTGACATGGAGCTTTTTTTTCGCGTGCTTGCCTGCTAATGGCTCTTGTCAGCGGAATGTGGAGGTCCGGGGAGGGGGTCGGGGTTGCGACAGTTCAGGTGGTTTGTACAGGCCATGCATCCCTATGGACATGGAGGTAGCTGCCAACCTATCACGACAGCTAGCGGGACTTGCAAGTTTGCCAGTTTTTGTAGCTGCAAGAGAACCGTTATCTTTCTTATTGGCTTTCTAGCGTTGTTGCTCATGCTGGTCGTAGGAGAGCTGTCATGCTGATTGCTCCATGACCATGCATGTCTCTGCATGTATTGCAGCCTTCGCGCCATGTTGCAGATAGAACCCTACAGATCTCGGATGTGATGCGCAGAGTCGGACAGCGAAGGCAAATGATGGGCGAATGCATTGTTGCCGTGGGCTCTTGCTCAGGCTATTCCTTCGTGGGCTTGAACCATGAGGCCGTCTTGCATAGTGTGGCGCATGCAGCGGATGCCTCCGGCGTCAGGGTTGCATTTGCTGCTGTATATAGTTCTCAAGCCATGATGAGTTCTATCAGACGATGGTTGCTCCGCTGCGGATACATCAAAGAAGGAGTGTTGCAAAGCACGTCACCTCGGTCAAGTCGTGTTGTGAGCACAGCGGGTCTCATGGCCTCTGCATCACCATCCTTCCCTCCGGAATGCCTCGCTGCTGCTGCCACGCCGCCGCTGAGAGCCGTTGTACATGAGAAGTTGAGGCACTGCCGAGATCTGCCGAGTCTTCTAAGTTTCGTCTGCACAGGGTCTGACTCTCGCCGCTTCTTCAGCTTCGGGGACGTTTCCGGTTGTGCACTCCTCTGGCGCTCCTCTGGTGCTCCTCTGGTGCTCCAGGCAGAGCGGAGGACTCGAGGGACTGGGTGGCCTGGCATCAGTGCACTTCCGCCCCTTGAAGAAGGAGGAGCCGGGCATGGCCGGGATCAGGGAGCGACTGAGGCTCAAGGGATCCCGCTTACCTTCTCGAGGACCGCAAGGAGCTAGAGCAGCTTCACCACGAGTGGTTTCCTGTCGCCGCCTCAGCCACATTGGACGCTACTCCCCGGCGTGAATGTGAGCGACTGTCGAAAGGGCTGCCCCAGGTTGTTTGTTGGTTCAAGGCCGCATGGTACTGTCGTATGCCCAATCAATCCGTTTTTGGCTGTTGAAGCCCCCTTTCTTGAAGCGGCGTTTGCCTCGGACGCTAAGTTGAGATGCGGTTTGAGGCTCTCGGATGGAGTCATGGGATGTCAGACGACGACGCACCTAGAAGTAAACACCAAAATCTCGGCCCCAAATCCCCGAGCCCTAAACCGAAACCCAGCCTCTTAAACCATACCCTTACAAAACCTGAGTATTCAAAGAGACCGACATTGGAGTAGAGGAAATGAAAGCTAATGTCCGATGGGACACGGCTTGAAACGAGGTGGCCTACCCTGCGAGCTTCTATGACGAGGCTTCGGATGTAGTTGTCTTGCTGCTGTGACTTCGACCGGTCCGAGAGACAGAAACATCGAAGGTCTTCCAGAGTCGCACGGTGCAGAGCCTTGCTGCGATTGCTGGTGACATCCTCCTTGGTGCCGCCACCTTTCGAACGACGGGCTTGCCATGCAGGGAGATTCGGAAAGGCAGTCATCATTCCTGACCTTTGCTCGAAATCGACAATTCCTAATCCGATGGTGAGGACCTTTGCCGAGCCCCGATTCGACATGACCTCGGTGCTGCAAGGCTGGCCAGACATCACACTTGTGTCCGGATCTTCTTCGGAGACAACTTGTGATTCAGTTTTCTCAATTAAACCTCGACTTCTTGTGGTGCCGAACAACTTGAATCTTGCACAGTTCCCTGGCTCGTTGGTGCACCTGTTCAGCCACTCAAGTAGTTTCCTTCTCAGCAAGTTTCTTTTGATTGAACTCTCGCGACTCGTGTTTCCACTCTTGCCAGCTAGCTCATCAGAAGCTTGTGGTCCCTGTGCACAGTTTTCCGCAACGCATTGCCGATATTGTCCTGTTGCTCTTACCTTCAACGGACCGAGGTCTGTGTGCTGGTTGTGTGCTAGGGAAGGGCAGAAAAGATGCAGAAACCAAACAGGGAATGCCTGAGCATGTGTGTTTGGCACGTTCTTGGGGGGAAGGAAGAGAAGAAGCACACATGTCTCATTGCTGTTGGGGTTTCGCGTGGGTTTTCTACCATGCGGACCGGGGCCCTGGCACCGAGCTTTTTGAGCTCTGCCGGCAAACGCATGTTGGAACATTTCAGCAAACCCAACGGAAACATGTGTCGTGAACAGTTTCTTCTTTGATAGAGACAGCAAAGCCTTGGGAACAGAATGACATGTAGACTTCAGTATGATCTTGTGGCAAGAGAACCGTCGGTGTGATTGATGCCCGGGACATCTTCAGAACTATGGTGAGTTCAAGTCGTGGTGGGCATCTGGCAGCAATTGTAAGATGGGCAGAAGAAGACAAAGCCGTCGTTTACGTTTTTTAGGGTTTCAGGTTTCGGGTTTGAGGAAGGCAAGTCAATCCTTGTTTCACGGCTTGGGCACGCCGGGTTGATGCGAGCTCATTGTGTGTCGGAGCGCGGATGAAAGCATCGGAGGCGGGGCGTTGCATTGGCCGCTCCGATTTTTCTTTTCCCGCCCGCGAACTGTAAAGGGCGGCGACTGCCCTCAACTAGCTTCGGCTTTTTACAGTTTGGTCACTCACACTCTTGTTGTCTTCTGGCATGTGTTGAATTGTTATAAACATTTGCCCGATATGGGATCTGGCTAGACGTAGACAGAAGCAAGGAAGCGGGTAGACATTATCCAACAAGAAGACTATGTGGAGGCAGCATAGACGTGGTGATCTAAATACTGATTGAGGTTCGATGCCAAGAGTAATTATTCGTGACCAGACGTTTGGTTGAATCCTTTAATTTGGGTGCTACCAAAATATCAGTACGCTCTCGCAACAGCCGGTCAGAACCTGGGCAAAGCATTCTGGTCGTCTCCTGGTGGTCTTCTGTGGGTCTCCTTGTGGTCCTCTCGTGGTCTCCTCCATGGGTTGTTGCGGTCGTCCTAGTGGTGGTCCTGGTAGTCCGAGTTGTCACAGGCGCCAATTTCGTCATGGTCGTCGTGGTGTTTGGGCATCTACGATTGCCTGGTACATGATTGTAAACGATTAGTGTCGTCCGGCTCGCCCCGGCCACAAGTGAAGAGTGTCGACGAATTCAACCCCGAAGATGTCACTTGGAGTAGGCCGTTGAAAGCGACTTGCAGAAAGCACGAACAAGCAAAGAGGCGGGGTAAACACGCGGGGCCAGGATAGGTTTTTGTGGGAACCTCTGACCGCTTCGGCGTGCGCATGTGTTTGCGGCGGGGTCCCCGGTGGTCATGTGCCCTGAAATGGATGAACTGCATGGACGCTCTGGCCCTTCTCCTTTTGGCATGAAGCTTGCAATTCGCTTCTGTAGCCCATCGAAAATGCACAGCGAAGCCGGCTTTCAGTTGATTATGTAAGAGGTTGTCCGCAGTGTTGGCATCCAGGGTTTTCCTGTAAATGCCGTATTCAAAACCACGACCCCCTGTGGAGACACTCGGGTGTCGGGTGTCCGAAACTTTTCGGGCTGGGCTGATTCGTGTCCGTCCGTGCCCTGTCATGGCCCTCGAGCTTCTTTGCAGGATCCCGCCAGACCCCTTCCAAACTGACACTGTTGCAAAAGGTGGTCTCCGGTCCTGCATGGAGGGCTACGCAGGCTCGGAAGCTGCAGTTGAGGGTCTGGGGTCTCTACAAGGGCATTGATGTTGTTGCTTCGCGAGTTTTCATTGCGGGTGCTGGCGCTTAGAAGGCCTCTGAAGGCAGAGAACTACTCGGGCCGATGGCATTCCACTTCCATCGTTCTTTCTGTTCCATGTTGAATATGTTGATAGGGCGATGAAGTCAGCCGAAGGCAAGCCGTCACCCAGTGTCACATTAGTCGAAGCATCACGGCCCGGTCCTCGATTTGGAGGCTACATTCTGACGCTGGGGGTCGTGGATGGCGCTCGGGGGCATGGCCTAGCCAAGGCTGGATGTTCGGTCGCAGAGATGTCCGGAATTTGGCGGTAGTATGTCGACTGCCCGCCGACTGGACCGCCAGAGTCCAGAGTCAGTGGCGTCTTTTTATTCAAGATACTGCATTGTTGGATCAGAGGCTCAGCCAGGAAGTTTAGACCCTGGATCCTGTTGACAGAACCGTGTCTCTTGAAATGCATCTCGCAGGAAAGATCCTCAGCGGATGCTTGCGCTTGCGTTGAAGCGGGGGGTTTTGCTAGGCTTTGCTGCAGCAATCCATCAAACGGATCAAGGCAGTGCTCCCCAAGGCAGGGCATGTCGGTGATCTCTTGGTCTGTGTGTCTGCGTTCTCGTCCTCGCCAAGGTTCAGGCGATCTGGGTACACGTGGCCTGCTACAACCAGCAGGCCACGCCCTCAGAGCCTTTAGAGCCTTTGGGGAGTCAGGAAGTGAAACGAAGTGAAGTGTCTTTTTCGCCCTGGGCCCTGGGCCCGTTCGCGACAGGCAAAGGCGCTCTACGAGAGTCAAGGCCTGCAGCTGGTGCGCTGCTTCCCCCGCTTTTACAGCTTCTACAACAAGCGACCTGGTCGCCGTGGCAGGATGCCATGCGAATTTTCTGTCTCCCTGAGATTCCAAAGGTCCTGGGACTCGCTGCTCTACGTCCTGTACATAAACGGCGGCAAGCCACCAGACAGCTTGCCACTGCAGGCGAACTGGAGAGTTCTCAGCAACACCGTCTCGCCCATTCTCGCCCTCCCTCGAGGTGGTCCAAGATGAGATTGCAGCCACCTTGAGCTGCCACAGCACCTTGCTTGCAGAATACCACTACGGGCCAATACGGGCCCAAGCTTCGCTGAGCTTCCTGAAGGTTTCGGCGAGCTCTCGGTGAGGTTGGGCTTTTGGGTTTCCAGCATCTCGTCCCAAAGTTGGCAAAGGCTGCTCTTGCGAGGGCCCACTGCTCCATTGAATATTGAATGATTTTGCGATGAGGCCTGGCAGGACGCTGCGGCTGCCGATGCAGATCTGCAAGGAAGAGCTGACGGCGAAGTGAGCATCTGCCAGGAGGTCCGTGACCAGGTTGTCGTGTGGGAGGGCGCGGTCGAGCCGGAGAGTGCTCCGTCCTTCGGGTCCTTCACTGGCCCAGCAAGTCACGAACAAGCCCGAAGCTTTGCAAGTGGTCGCTCCGCGGTGGTGGAGCCCCAGCTCTCAAAGGAGGCTACGACGACTTCCGCTGCTGCAGATCTTGCGCAGTTCCGTGCAGAACGTGCAGCCGACGTGCTCCGAGTCTTCTGTGGAAGATTCATCACGGCATTGATAAAAAGAGGTTCCCAGCTTTCTTGTTTGCAGGACTTCGTTATTGCACTCGCTCAGTTCCAACCGCCAGTTTTGAGAAGGATGCGCATGCACTGAATGTCTTGCTGTGACGACTATCGCTGCGCGAAGGTGGATGTTGAGGATTCAGAGCCCGTTTTGGTCGAAGATGCCCCTTGTCTTCCGAAGCGTGGCCGTGGGCAGCGGAATTCGAGCCTAACATGGCCGTTGGGTAGATGCGTAGTGCAGAGCAGAGCCTGAGGACCCAAAGAGCCGGGTGCGCACCTATGAGGCCGAACTAATATGTTTGTATGTGTATGTATGTACGAAAATAGAAGCAACTACGCAATAGATAAGTAAAGATGTACAAATGAAGCCAAACAAACAAATAAGGAGACAAATGCAAATACAGATGGAAGTAAAGGAAATAAGCAGGTACAGTACACATATATACATACATATATATATATATACACACACACAGAGACAGATAGACAGACAGATCGATAGATCGACAGATCGATAGAGAGAGAGAGGGGTTTGCGTGCAGATGGTGTTGTTTGTGTTCGACGGATGTTTCCATTCATTATATGTGCTTTGTGTCTATATGTACACTATGTGATCTAGAAATATCTTTCCCTGCTGTATACGGTGCATACCAAATTTGGCACCCCGGCGATCCCCTGTGTCGACGGGACAAATGGCATGAAACTCTCAACCCTGAGGCATGTTGTCCATCAGCAGTGCCCTCTACTAGTCTATCCACGGGTTCCGTCAGTAAGTTTGCAGACAGAACTGCTGCCGACATTCAACGACTCTTGTGGATGTCAGCTGTTCATCAATGTCAAAGAATGCCGAGATGAAGACAATCACCCCACGATCTTGACTTGACAACTGTTGGCAAAGAGTCCAAGTGTGACGATGTCCAGAGCCCGCAACATGGCGCTTACATGGCTCGACAGTACCGTCAATGCGTTTGTGGGGCGGTCCTCAGATGCGCTGGGTGGATCTGGGCGGTGGGTGGAGAGTACAAGCTGAGATCAATGTTTCTATCGTTCATGCATTGCATGGCGGCTACAAGGACTACGCCGGTTCCTGTTGCCACTTGTGTGGGAGCAGATCCCGAGCCGAATGTTTTCACACAGCATGGTTTGCCAGTACTGAAACACAACCAAAAGATTACCAAACATTATGCCGATGTCACCTCGTCGCGGCCATCCCAGGCCGCTAAAGGAGATGCAAGAGACCGCATAGCGACGCTGCTAGGAGCGGTTTCCGCCGTTATCACACTAACAAAACAAAACATCACACGACAAAATCAATTTAATTCCCGCAGAAGCCTTGGCTCTGACTCATTGGTCAATAGTTGAGTCCCTGCAACAGATAGCTTCTTTGCAAGTGCTCCGGCAGTGTGTTGTTTGGCCTTTTGCTGTCGCCTCGCCAGGGCATCCTTGTCTCCACCCTGGAGGAAGAGCCGCTGGAACCAGTGGCAGGGCCCCGAGCAAGCATGGACTCATGGACGACGTATTCAAGCTTTCGTTGCATTCGGGGTCAACTGAGTTGAGGAGCCTTCTGGCAACTCCGCAGAATTTTTCGAGTTGTCAAGGCCGAGTTGGAGCCGGAAGGCACCGCCACGATCCAGGCGGACGGCCTTCGAGTTGTAAGGGCGACACGGGACAACTGCATGCACTGCACGAATGCAGGGGCTCGCCATGTTGCGCCACGAGATCGAGGAAGTGGGCAGGGGGCTCATGGCAAGGGAATGTGAACTCTGAGACCGCATGGAATCTGGAACATGTCATTATGTCACATTCAACTGGCAGACTGATCACCTTTGGCACATTTGGCCCGAGGTGGCCGAGCTCGTCTCGTGAATGTCATCCGGAGCAGTAGTCGCTTTGCGATTGTCGCAGCCGCCCAAGTTTGAGCTTTGGCCAACAGGGAACTACAGCGTATCTGAGCCCCCAGGAAAGCCTGTAGCATCTAAATGCTTGACGACCTGGTTCGTGTAGCTCTCGGGGTGCGACGCATGCTGCAGGCGCCAACGAAGCAAGTTTGCGGAGCGGGACATAAAGGGGTGCGCAACTTCCCGTTGAGCACAAGCGTGGGTTCGGCAAGTGTTACCATCCATTATGGTGGAAGAATGTGGAAGACAACATTTACAAATCTGAAATTCAAAGCATCTAGCAAGTGCATTGGGCGGCATAGGCTAGGACTTCCCAAGCACCAAACTGCAAAGCTGATGGGTTTTTGTTCAGCTGCAGCTCGTGTTGGAACGAGGTCAGTCCATACTTTCAGCCAAATATGGCTGTCGTGCGACCCTCAGAAATGCCGCATCGTCGTGGTGCCTCTTGTCAGACATGGCAATCAGGCTCTCGTTTTCATACAGCTCCGGTGCAATCTCTCTGATGCAGTGTCAGGCCTTTGGTTCCCTTTTTGGCAGAGACGAATATTGAGTTGCGTTTGAGCCGGGAAAGCAGAAGCACCAAACAAAAGGAGCTTCAAACCGACGCTGCATAGACAAAGTTGAGGTAGAAGGTCGGTAAGGATTCTACTGCGAGGTTCCCAGTTGTCCTTCTTGCCCACGACCTCTTGACACCCCGAGTCGATCGGAAGCATCATGCAGAGATACCGCTTCCGGCAAACAGTGTCGTCTCCCAAATTTTGACTGCATCTCACCGTTGGTTGATCTCCTGGAGCAGCGCAGACTCAGGCAAGGCAGGCAGAGAGGGCTTCAGAGTTCAGGATGGATAAATTGTGGGAAGCACACGACAGCCTTGCTGAGGTGCATTCCTTGCACCTATCCTTGTCCCCGCGGCGGCCAAGGATATTTCCTAGTGAGGGCATACGAGGGCATGGTCCACGGCGTTCACAAGGTTTCCATGTTTTGCAGTATGCAGCAGTGACATGTCGGTGCACACCTGACATGAATTGCAAGCAGTGTTAGTGAGCGTCTGCTATACCGTCAGGACTGCGTGCGTGTGTGTGTGTGTCACCAAATATACCCCAGTGCTTCCACTGCCGCTCGATGCTCAACTTTCGGCTGTTCCGGTACAGTTCAACAGGTTGACTCGCTGATGTGTACGGACTGTAGCAGGCGTTCGCTGCATCATTGCCACTGCAGGGTTCCAATTTCCAAGCACAACATCCATCGCGATGAGCTGACTGCACGGGTCGGAAATTGTGCGTTTTTTTGCCTCTGCCCTCGTTTATGCAGAGTGGCTTTCCATGGTGGTGCTGAGGCCAAGTGTTTGATGGGTTCCGGTGCCGTCGCCTTTGGGTTAACGCCTCGCAGGAGAACACAGCTCCCATTCGTCGGGAGCGGTACGAAGAGGTGCCAGATTTGCTTCCAGCCACAGCTTGTGGGCACGGGGATCCGACGGTTTCTCGTCAGTGCAGCGCGATGTTACAGATGCTGTGCCAGGGACGCGCGAGCGTCCACGATGAAATCGGGTGATATTTGGCGGCTGCAGGGTTCTTAGCGCCCTGAAGCGAGTGTTGTCCGGTGCCAACCCCGGGTTATTGACATCGAACAGTGGCACTAGGCGTGCATGTCTTACCATGTCTTACCATGCGTGCGATGAGCAGGAGTGAGCCTTTGATCGTGCCGCAGTACATCGTCCGTCCACCGAGATGATGTCCACTCATCCCGTGCCTTAAGGACCCAGGAAAGGCGACGGGCGCCCAAGCCCAAGGCCATCCGGATGGGACGAGACACCTCCCCTAAGTCGCAAGAACTTCTCAAATTATCGGAGTCCACCTACGTGCAGTTTGAGAAAAGACTTGTTGAAGGCTTTGTCCTTTCTTTGTCCTTTTGGTGAAGTCAAAACCCCCTCCGCAAGCTTTTAACGATTTTAACGGATGCGCTGGCACCTACAGTGGTCAAAGGCATTGCCGAACAACGATGGTTTCTGAGATCAATTCCCTAAACACTTCTCAGCAAACTTCACTGTGCACAAGGTTACTAGCATGACGACTTGGCTGCAACCAACACTCTGATTTGCCAGTTCTCCAAGTCGGGGTCCACCGGCATGCTTCCGGCCGCTGAGTCTCGACTGCAGCTTGGAGTTGGGCTTTTGACCGGAGCCGATCGCTGAAGGGAGTGCCAGCCACCAGAGCCACCAGAGTTGAGCTTTCTGCTTGAGGCTCCCAGCCCCAAGCCTGGCGACACGAGGCCCTGTGCGTCTGAAGTTTCTGGTCCAGCCAAGACGGCCTTCATAATGTCCCCTTGCATAGCTCTCGGATAAGCAGGGCTAGGGCTAGGAGCCTCCGCGGTCTTCCCTGTCGGTCACCCCCCGCAAGGCAGTCCATGTTCTCCAAGCCGAGCAACTCCATGCCGCAGTTGCCGGGACCTGTGTTCTCGTGAAAAACGGCAGAGAAATGTCTGCAGGTCCAGACAAGAACATGGCTAAACATGCGGGCTGACTTTACAGTGTCATCCAAGGCCCGCTTTGGTTGATAAGAAGGACAAGAAGGATGGCAAGGCAAATTTGGTCTTGTGCCAGAAGTGGGGAAGCCAGTGATATGCTTTGAGTTTGATACGAACACGTAAAAAAATAGGTTCCTTTCGCCTGTCTTCCGGAATTCGGGAAACTTTTTCACTCGAAGAAGGCCCGGGAGTTGACGACTGTGTCGGACTGGCGGGACTTCTACAAGCAGAGGGCGCAGGAGCTGCCTCGGCCTCGGTGGTTTTTTTTTTTCTCGCTCCGTGTTCCTTTCTTTTTGGGAGGCAGCGATGAGGTTCAAAGGTGCTCCGAGTCTCCCGCGTCTCGAGGCTCGGCTCTTGATGCGCCAGGCTCAGGCCTCGGCCTGGTCCCGTCCCCCGTCGCGTCTGTAGGCGGAATTCGGTGTACGCCTGCCTGCCGGACAGGAGACTCTGCCTTGCCACGAGCTCCCACTCATTCTGGACCAAAGCCTTACGTTGTGTTACCATTTCAGAGTCTCCAGGTCTTCGCGCAGGCAGGTCATCTGCATTTGGCAGCCTGGCATGCTTTGCAAGCAAAGCACGCGACTGCGAAAGCTGTCCATGCTCCTGAAGCATCGCTGGCCACGCAGCACCACTGGCCTTTCAACGGCTTGCGTATGAATTATACATCAGGGTCTATTTCGCAGATTTCCCCAACGCTCGCTGCTGCTCTGCAGGCTTGTGTCTCATCACTCGCATTTTAAGCCGGTTGCTTGGGTTCCTTTGAGCTTCAAGCTGTTTCACGAGAAGCCAACAAGCAGGCTTCATCACAGAAAGAGGGCCAAACAGCGTGACAGTCGCCCGACTTCGCTATAGATGTTTGGTTTGCAGAGCAGAGGAGGACATTCCACGGTTATGCATGTCATTCAGAAGGGCTGAAGTATGAATGGGTAAGGAGGACATTTCGGCAAGCCCTTGCCATTGCAAGCTCCTTCCCGTAATGCATCGAATGTCGCACTTCCGTTTGCTGTTGGTCTATAAGGACAGCACCTGTTCGACCCTCCACTGAGGTGGCCCTCTCAACTGACATCATATTCAGTTCATTTTCCAGTGTAACGATGTCAGTGGGAGATCCAATCCTCTCCAGACCGTACAGAATTGTGTCACCTGCCAAATGGTGTGTGTGTGTGGTGCGCTTCTACCAGGTTGTGCCACGTGCCGCTCAACAATATGACGTATGCTTAGCTTAAGTCACTAGTCGCCTAGGCAGTTCCACCGCATCTTTGTTCCGTGGCACAGCCAAAGTGTGTGCGTGAATTTCTGGTGAATGACAGTGAAGCGTACCGGGCTCCAAGAAGTGAGCATGTTGAATATAAAGTTGAATATAAAGCTCTAGGAGTAGTCAGGGTGAAGATGTGTAAAGCATCCAAAGAAAAGAGGTGCAAATGGCAACCAGATCTAGCCGTTTTGTTTAGCAGGAGTTGAAAGCCCAATTCCTGGAGGTGAGCGACAAGTTTCACGCATCGACGGATGTCGCTTCATGTACGCGTAAAGTGACAGGGATCGTTGTACGTCCCCGCATTCAAAAGCAAATTCTGTGCACGTATTTTGCATCGGCCGAAGGAAGAGCGGAGTGCCCAGGCTCATTGTAAAATAAATTTCATGGATTCCGGAACAGGTCGTGTTGCATGATGTTACAGGTGAGTATGCAGCGAGGACCGTTGTCTTGTCGGCAGCTTGCAAAAGTTCTGTGAATCAACGGCTCTAAGACAGGGATGCCAGGCACACCGCTCCAAATGCGACCTGGTTTTACGCAGGGCCGACGTTGCCGAATGTGTGCTCCGTTGTGCCCTGAGCACTCGTTCTCTCGAACGCACCCGCCGTGTTGCCTGTGCAAGGCGACAAAAACCCGAGGGACATGGTGCTCGTTTCTTTCGCCAGCTGCTCTGCCAGTATTTGATGGTCAAGCCGGGTCGTGCAGAGCACGTCTATGACGGGCAAGATCTTAGGCTCAGGCTGTACCAGTTGCAACAGAGCTGTTGTCAATTGCTTCTGTCGCAGCGAATGTCAGCCATGCAGCCGGAGCATAATAGCTCACGATCAGTTGCTGCAGAGATCGACTCCAGCCATAGCAGTGCCATAGCAATGGACTCCGCGGTCGCTGCGCATGCTCTGGCAGATGCCGCAGCGCAGGTCCTGGTGGATGACAAGGACGTCCAATACGAGTATGACTATGACTTAAAAGAAATTCCGATCCCAAGGTGCAGGGTCCACAGGGCCCAGGGTTAGATTTAGATTTTGGAAGAATTCGCAAACTTAGAAGTTGGGAATTTGGAGTCTGGAAACTCGATGCGGAGGCAAACCTGCAGAACTGGAATCTGGAGATTTGATGCCAAATCTAAAATCCGGACACAAGCGTCCCAGCTCTTGCTCAGGAGATGCGCCGGGGCCTTGTGCAGACGCTGAGCCGGCTGGGCGACCGCTCCGAGCAACTTGCGGCAATCGCAACATGGCAGTAACATGGTGCATGAAGACCACGAAGAGCCAGGAGAGCAGCAGACGCTCATGATTTCACGTGATTTCTAGGATGCTCTGAGCGAGAAAGCCCTTGGTGGCCTTACGGGTCGTCGAGCTGCAACCCCAGCCCCCCTCCGACCGCCCTCGTCTTGGGCTGCGGACGGAGGACCATGCTCAGCATTCACGTTTCATTAAAGCCGCTGCCATAGCCTTTGACTGGATTCTGTCCAAGTCGAGATCGTGAGCTCAGAGGCAACTGTTTCATCCTGTGGCTAAATCGATGCCAAGTGCGCAACACATGGACTCCAATGAATCGAATGTTCCTGATTCCTGACAGAGAAAATACGGCTGTGACTCTGACACAAAGGGTTCCAAAAGCTCAAGAGGACCTGCAGCTGCATCAGCTGCGGCAACGGAGCCACTTCTGGACTCCAATGACGAACCCTTCATCATCTGGTCGCCTCTTGCCCTCGTGGGGGGATGATATGCTCTTTGGTTATCTCTCTGATTGCTATTGATTGCTTGTTTTTGCCTTCTGAGATTACTAAGTACGCAGTCCAGTCTTGCGTGTTCAGGAGCTTCGGCCAATCAGTCCCAGTGTGTACCGCAATGAAATGCCCCTCGTAAGGCCTCTTGTTGACAGCCATCTTGGTGCCGAACACTTAGTGCCAGAACAGGGCAAGAAAGAGGAGGGCACTGCGTGATGCATCTTGTAACTGTGCGCTTGGTACTTGTCCCATCGAGGTGAAGCATGTTGAGGAGCTGCGCACCAAGGATCGCAGGAGTTTGATCCTGGAGGCGCGACAGGAGGTCTAAGTGTCACGGTCTGTTCACGTCCGTTGCGTGGCGCAGATCCCAAGATTGAAGACCTCTTCATCGCTTCCTTCACTGAACCGCGCTGGTGAGGCTTGGGAGCCGGAAATTGCAAAAGCTGTGAACATCCTGCGCTGCCCCGCCTCAGTCTCTCTGTCGTGCTCTTGCAGGCGCTTCCGAACGGCTCGAATCCGAGACAGCGAAGCAAGGCCGGCCGTATCGTCCAGTCAGATGCCTGAGCGGTCATGAACATTAGCGATGGGCACTCGGAACCTGTTCGGCCTCGGCCTGCACATGTGAAGGCATTGCCCGACTATGCCCCGCACCTTCGCAGGTCGGCTTTGAACATGGGCTTCTAGGCTGATTCGTGGTAGCCGGTAGACCCACTGTAGGCGCGAAGGCTAGATCCATATCCACGATGGCTGGCCGTTGCTTCAGGTATGCCGTCTCAACTGAAGCTTGGATGATTCATGAATCGTCAGGTCGACCAGCGTTTGTCTGTCTCTCCTTGGCTTCGCCGTCTTGTCGTACTAAGCAACTCAGCTTCAGGTCAGTGGCAGACTCTGCTGTCACCTTAGGACCACGACATACATGGCCCAATGCAGCATTCCGGTTCAGAGCCTTGGATGCCATCAGTCACCAGCTGCCAGTGTGAGCAGCGTCAGTGGTGGCCCCTGCAGGCAGAATTCTTGAAATCTGAGTGTGTAATTAGCAACGATGTTTTACAGACACCCATCACACTTCTGCCCCCCAAGAGTCAGCCCCTGCCTGTGACAAGATTTCCAGCTCTTCGTGCTGAGGAAAGCGGTGGACCCAAAGTGGTCGACGGAGCTGAAGCGTTCCCCGTCGGGATATGTCGGGGTTAGAGTGCCGAAAGAGCTCCCGATCCCCGCAACCACCAGCTCAGGAGCTGATTGGCGAAATGCACAGCGGATTCAGTTTCTGGGACTGCAATGCAAGCTTTCAGTGAGAGTTGGCCTTGTCAACCTGAAAAGCTTAGCAGATCTACGGAGACAAGGTACGACAACCGCCTGTCAGCTTCCACCACCGGCTCGATCTCTCCCGTGCCCTCAGCCGCGTTTGACCGAAACGCCACGTCCCTTCGCAAAATTTCGCAGCCAGGAGATGCCATACCTGGTCAGACATCACTGATCAGCTCTTTGGGGCGCAGAAGCTTTCTCGGCCGGCCCAAGGCCCCAGATAAGCCCCCAACCAACAGCCCAAAGCATCCCAAAGCATGGGCAAGACTCCTGACAAGCCCGAGCTTTTATCCAGCCTGCCCTCGTATGAGGCCACATGCGTCACATGCTGCCTTCGTAGAGCCATAGGCTTGCAGTGGGAAGCATTACTGGATGCAGGGTACAGGAGAAAAGCAATGCTGCCAGCGGAATTTACATCAGCGATGAAATATCGGCGTGCGGAGGCTTTGGCGAGGTCTTGCTAAGGTGCTTTTTTGCGTTGGCCGACTCTGATTGCCAATGGTACTCAACTGTACACATTTGCTACTTTCGGCTCTGGTATGTCCAGCGGGCGAAACCCTCCGCCCGTTCTCTTCTGAGAGGCTTCCGTGGGAATGCGTGGCAACTCTCCAGTGTTGCAACAGCCCCCAGTGCCTGAAACCGCAGATCCCATGGACAGCGAACCGCGTATGGCGTGGGCTGAGCCTGCTCTACGGCCCGCCGTTGACCTACTAACGAAATGAACTCTCACTCGGCATGTGGACACCTAGAACGTGCAATTTGAATGGGACCGGTGTCCAGGTTTCAAGACGGCCATGATGTTCCTACAGGACGTCTCGGTACCTGTGACTCAGGGTCCACCCCCGCAGGCTCGCCTGCCTCTAAGTTGAACAGATGTGTTGGGTGGTCGCATCCTGCCAAGCAGGCCGTGCTGGAGAAGAGGTACTGGTGGAGCACGCTTCAGGCCACTTGCAGTGTGATCTCCAACCCCAGATCGGGTCTGTGTGGATCAGGCACTTCTGTCTGCCACGGCCCTGCTACAATTCTTCACCTTTGACCTGGTCGGCGGCATGCTGACAGGCAGCCTTACTCGGTTTGCGCAGGTCCCATTTAAGTTTCAGAATACATTATCGACATTTAACATGCACCATCTCGGCTGTCCACAGCGTTCCGGTGTTTAGCTTTCCGACCAATCCTGTGCCAGCCATGATGCTGTTCCTCGCTTTCATGATGTGCACCGATGGGATGGCAGAGATGCACAGGCACGGTGAACATCTTGATCACCTGAGATCGCAACTAGAACTCTCTCCAATGCTGGATCCCTCTGGACAGGTATGCCTTGGCTGCGGTCTTAGATTCCTGAAACCACAGCTCTTGGAATACCGAAACTAGATGTTATTTCGTTCCCCTTGGCCGTGGCAGTTCCTGCGGTCCACCCAAGGCTTATGCAATGCTCAGCTTGCTGTGCCTGTTCTTCGACATGGTGCCTGCGGCTCAGCCAGCATCCTCGACGTTGCAGGTCGGTGTTTGGGTGCAGCTTCCTGCAAGGCCTCTCCTCTCGTCTGTGGGCGGCCGCTCAGAGGCGAGGGTCCTTACAGCTAGTGATCTCCGCCGTTTGCCGAATCCCGAGGTGTCTGTGGAACCTGTTGACCGAGAGAGCCGAGAAAACGAGTTACGAATCACGTGCCTTGGGCAGCTAACCTTGTCCAGAAGGCCAAACAGAGTGCCCGTCCATGCATGGCAATCGGCAGGTACACTACAATTATCAAGACCATGCCGTTTTTTGACGATAAGCGGGGCTGGATGTACAATGGAGCACGGAGCTTACAACTTTCAAAATCGCAAGGGTCGAACTGCACTGAGTCAATCGTGCGATTGCTTTTTGCAGCCTCGAGTATCGGATTTTGGTGAAACAAATTTTGTAACATGAGCCCAGCCGAGGCGAGCATCACCATGATCTTGTCTCCTATTTGTATGCTGCTTGGAGCGTCAGAACCTCGGAGTGGCATGTGCTCCGGAGCTTTCTGATCGGTTCGACATGGGGCTCTTGCTGCACGGTTCCATGCTTTCAGCATGCTGCTTCAGTGAAGCAAAGACGATATGCGTTGAACGAGTTCGCAGCATGCAAAATTCAAAAAACCCGAAGTCGAAGCCAACACCAAGTGGAGCCAGACTGCATTCACCTCATCATGGCAGGTACCTCGCAGGACAAGCCCACATTGAGATGCACAGCGCTTTACTTAGAGGAGGTAGTGGGTTTCCTATCAGTCAGCTGTGCTTTCCGAACATTCCCGGTGCATCCAGCGCACCTGTTTGCTCAGGCACAGCCATGGATGCCAGTCGCGAGAACATGATAGCGTGTAAGCCTGAGTACATCCTGAGTCCTGGGTACATCCTGGTGCATTGGTTGCTATCCGTGTCTCATCCGCTGTGTAGCCCAAGTGTGTGCCGAGGAACATAGAGGCAACCCGAGCCACTGAGAATCCTCGGCCGCGACGGTTGAGGTGGGTGGGGCCGTGTCAAACCGACGAGTCGCTGAGCAAAGGAAAATCGACTGCTTTGCCTTGCCAGGGTGCAGCAGGTTCCGCAGGGCAGCCAGGGCCTCGGATTTCGCAGAGCCCGACATGCTCAGCTCTCATAGCCAAGGCGAAGGCGAGCGCAGCCCACCAGAAAGCTCAGCGGCCACGCTTCTCAGGTGGGAAGCCCTTTCAGTAGTCTGGAAGCCTGGAGCTCCGCGTTGGCTTTGGAGTTTCCACCTCCCTCCCAGTTTTTCATGAACTATAGGCCTCCGCATTGCCAGAGGTTTTCTGGTCAGAGCCATCGGCTGCCGCCCGACTGATGATATTTCACGGAGGACCCAATGCCGGTGTAGTTCGAGTTGGCTTCGAGCGGTGTGTCTGGACACGGTCAAAGCAAATTCTGTTCAATAAGAACGATCCTCTCTCCGAGACGGCCTCTCGAAGCCAGAGGATCCTTGGATCTTCCAAGGATGACCTGCCCACATGTCATGTGTGGAGAAGCCTTCGCGTTTAGTGGCCAAATGCCGCCTCAAGCACCGGCAAAATCGGAGGGCCAAATGGGCGTGTCAAGCTTTCTTCCGAGGACTTTATCCGGCTTCCGGAGGGCAGACGAATGCAATAACAGTTGAAAACAGTTGTGTGTGAACTGTACATGCGTGAGAACATGTGATGAGACGCAAACCTACTTCGTTCAGGCATGCTTGATGTTGCTTGTGTAGCAAGGCCGATTTTCAACGACATCGAGAATCAAACCACCTTGGCCCCAGGACAAATATTTGGCCGGTCTGGAGTCTTCAAGAATTTGATCGGCTGCAAAATCCTGTGGGCATCCCTCCCCAAACATTCCGTGCCAGTCGACTGGACGGACACGCAGACGCACTTTGGCGGATTGCTTTACACGTCCCGGCTGGTGCTAGCCCACCAGATGAGCGGAGACTCTTAGAATCAAAGCATTACATGGTGCCAATCTTCTGGTGGCCATTCGCCTTTTGACCCCACCTGAAAGGGACTTGTAGATTTTTGCAGGTTGCCGACGCGGCGGCACCCTTCTGTTCTGTTGCAGACTCCGACGATCAGTGTTGCCATTCTCGAGCAATGGCTACCGGGCACGCATTCCTTCGCCCGCGCGCTTGCACTCGCAAGCCTTCTCCCATGCATTGTTGCCCGCGCAGATGCGGCGCTGTTGTGCGAGCAAGAAGGGTGTTGCGGCACGATGCGACCCTCCGGACCAATCGCCTCGTGGGCAAGCAACCACGAATCCACGCCGAGGTCGCAGGCCTGTGCTGGGGGAGGCGATGTGGTGGTGGTCTCCGCATTTGCATCGACCTCCGCTCCGCAGCGGTGTCAGCCTTTCCACAGGTCTGTGAGAGGCAAAAACAGCCGACGCCACACCTCGTGGCCGAGTGCCGCGAGCAGTCCATGTACCCCGAGCTCGTGTCGGGGCGCGCAGCCCCTGCGCGTGCTAGGATGCGAGGTTGGCGGTCGCTGTAATGACTCCACAATCTCTCTCACAAAACGCCTAATCGCGCTGCGCGCGTGCCGAGCTCCTTCGGCAGTGCGCTGTCCTGCGCGTGTTGCCTGGGCAAGGCGCGGGTGCAGAGCTCTGGCCGTGGCGATCCAGCGCGCTACGGGACACGGCCTTGGGACGTGCACGTGGTGTCCAGCGCTGCTTGGCGACCTTCGGACAGTGCCGCGAGCGAACAGGCATGTGAAAAAAACTAAGAAAATACCGGGCGCAGGAATGTGATTCTGACCCACGGACTTTCCGAGCTGTCCAAGCGCGGTCCCAGCGCACCTGCGAACTATTTTGCTGCAGCGGCTCAGCTAGCCGGCACACACTGTTTGGATTTCTTGCAAAGACGGTGCTTGCACCCCAGGTCCGGCCATGGGCGAGGCCCCAAGCAGACCTAGTCGCAAGTGTGCTTTGCGCAACCACGCTTAGAAGACCCCTCCACCGCCTCAAACAGCCCTGAGTAGCAGCGGCTCGCAGGGCTTGCAGACGCACGAGCAGATGCAGCAGAGGAATAAACAGGGCCACTGTGAGCCTGCCACCGTGTACAGTGTACTTGCGGAGCACAAACTGTTTAACATGTTTAACATCATGAGCCTACGAACTTGGCATATGCACAGCAGAGTTGAACACTCGACTTGCCAAAGTGTAATTAACCATCATCCATTCCACCAGCGATGCTCAACCGAGCGACAGTAGATCCAAAGCACTGCCTTGCCTGACCCCAGCCTGCTCATCCTGCTCCGACCGAGATTCCAACAAAGAACCGTGGACAGAAACTCGCGGGGGTATTGGTGATCAAGTTTGCAATGACTGACCATACACCCCCATTGACCACGACAGAATCCAGTTTTCGATCGAAACCTGCGTCACGCCAAACCACACCGAATGCCTTTTGCGACTCCTATGCGCATGTACTCCCTTTGACACGAACAGGACACCCACAACACCCCACAACCATAAACAGCCGTGGTCGCCGTAGCCGCACTGGCGCCGAAAGCTTACCTACCCAAAGTTCTATGAGGCGTTGGGCTCAGAGGTGGGCAGTCGCTGGAATGAGCAGGCGAGGTTGAAATGAACCGGGGCTCCTCACGCCACCCGCACAGCAGCGTCCTTTGGCTGGGCGAGGTGTTGGTGGGGGAGCAGGCAGCCGTCAGCGCGGCCTTGGAAGGCCCCTGGCTGCACCCATTGCAGTGTGAAACCAGCGACGCCCCACCGCTGCTCCACCTCGACTCCCCCGCCGGCAACAGCTGCTTGCTGCTGCGGCCCTAACAGGACCGCCGGGTAGTCAGTACATATCGGTAGCCGATTCGGTAGCTGCGACCGTGGCTAGTACACGTTTGGGCAGCTGGAACAAAATGCAGATTTTCTTGCAAGGTGTGACCGTGTTCGTCAGCCACCATGCCACAGCATGCCCACGCACGAGGCTGCTCGCACGCCGGGCCAAAATCGTGGAGCATGCCTGGGTTCGCGTGGAACACGAAGCCATCGGGCCCGAAGACAGGTCGTTCCGCAGCAGTGGCTCACGCACATGACTGCACCGGGCGTGGCGTCTGATCCGCCGACTCGACATGGTCATCTACGGCATCACCCTTTGGGGAGGGGCACGGTGCTGCAACGCGACCTTAGTCTCTCCATTCTCTCCCGTGTCACGCGACGGCCAGCCGCAAGGGCGCTCGGCGGATGAAGATCGTGCTGCGTTGGCCACCGCTATGCGCCGCAAAGAGGCGACGTACCCGGAGCTACCAACGGTCCCCAACGCCTCGTCGTACTCGGCTCGGAAGTGGGGGCCGCTGGGGCACGGGAGCCCTGGCTCTCGTGCGCAATTTCGTTCGCCTCCGCAGGCTGCGCGCCCCGCCCGCTCTCCGCCATCCCGCGACTACAGCTCGGGCTCGGCGCTGGTGGACGCAGCTGTCGGTCACAGTTCAGCGCGCCACCGCTCTGTCGGCGGCTGGTCAGGCGTGGACGCTGCGGGGCCTAGCGTGCTGCCGTTCTGCACGTGGACACCGTTTCTGGCTGCTTCTGGCAAACTCAGGACGGCATCTTGCGGCGGATGCAAAAAGACGCGGTAAAAAAAAGGATCTCTCTCCTTGTAGCAGCCCGACCAAAAACAGCACAGACTCCACCGACCTATAACTTCGACGTAACCTAGACCTACTATAGCAGATTACAGCATGGCATTTTGCAATGGACCAAGACGTGTCCCATCTGTATTGTTAATGATTCTATATACTCAAAATAAGCTTTTTGTATGGGTTTCTCTGTGCCCTCCTCTGTTACCCGCCTTGAACGAAAGCATCGCAGACCCCTTCCATTTTTTCCACCCCTAGGTAAACAAGAGCCGGTGGTAGTACAGTAATAGGGCACCCTGGTCCAGTGTCTCTGGACATGGCAAATCGTGACAATGCCTGACGGGTACGTACCCGCCACCGTCCAGGAGGCGCTGCTACATGATTCTAGGGGGGACTCGTGGGTTGGTCGTTGGCGATTTCTTCTGGCGCATAGGCAACAATTTGCTGCCGCCGTCGAGGAGGCTTGTCTTCACCAGCATGCCTTTTGGCAATCGTGCTAGCTTGGATGCATTGGTGCATACTGTCGCACATGTTCCGAACCTTACTGTGGTTTCCTTGGACGCATCCGCCGCTTACGACGGCATCAGCCGCCAGTCGATTCTTCAGGAACTCCGGACCCTCCCCCCTGCTGCTGCTGCTGCCGCCGCCGCTGCTGCTGCTGCCGCCGCCGCCGCCGCTGCTGCTGCTGCTGCTGCGTTTCCGTTCTCTTTCGTGTGGCATGATGGCGCCAAAAAATCGCGTGGAGCAAGGGGGTCCTTTAAGGATAACTCTGTTCTGTTCGGGTTTGCAGCCTGCGCTCATTGACCTTCAGCGTGAGCTCCGGGAGGACATCGAGGACCTTGGGGAACACGTTTTCGTTTTGGCTTACCTCGATGATGTCACCATCCCCGCTGCCCGCGAGCGTGTGTTGCATTTTGACCGTCGTTTCGAGCACCACCTTGCTCGTCACTCGCCTGCGCCGCAACGTTGGCAAGACCGCTATCTGGAGCGGCGCTGGCCTTACCCCGGATGGCTTGGGGGAGCTCTCGTCGGCTTCCCGTGTGTGGTTCGGGGACCCTGCCTGGAGCCTTCATCACGTGGCATACTCCTGCTCGGTACTCCTTTCGGTGAGCCGCCAATCGTCGCAGGCACTTAGACTCTTTCCGACCGGCGCGCGGCTCTAGTGCGGCTCTACTCTCGTCGTTGCCCCGACTCGGTGACACACAGGTCTCTTGGCTTCTCTACACAGCTGCCCCCCGCGCACAGCTTGCCTTGCGCTCTCTTCCACCTCGCTCGACACGGGGCTTTGCACACGCACACGATGCTGGCGTGCTCAGAGCCTTGAGCGAGTTGCTGCGTGCGGAGGGGCCGTCCCTGTTGCCACATCTTGCCACCGGCAGCTGCCCGCGTTGCACAACTTGCTC